ATGGGGGCCGACAGTGTCCATCAGCAGCCACAGCCTGCCGGCCCCTCGACCGGCGCACTCTGGGGCTCCGTAGCCCACCGCCAGCAGTTCAGAGAAGCCGCCTCTGAGCTGGACGGATAGCTGACAGCTGAGGATGTGATGCAGTGGGACGTGCCCGGGAAAAGGAGAGCACGCGAGACCAGGAGGGATGTGACGGAGGGGAGGGAAACCACCCGTGCTGGGATGTATCCGGCCATGTGGGACCTCGACGAGTTAGCGGGTGGCTGGTTGAAGAGGGACGGTTGCCATCTCCGGGGCATAGCGTGCATGCCCACAGAGAGGGCTCTGAGTGCCGCCTCTGGCACACGTGCCATAGGTTCGGCACCACTGTCCTAAGGTGTTTTCAAGCGAGGTTTAATAGTCATCTCTAAGAGCCATCATGGATAACCGGAGTGGCAGTGAAGTCTTCTCATAACTTCCAAAGTAGCAAAACCCAACAGGCCTATTTTCTTCACTGTTATTCAGCTTCCATCTAATTTCCCCCAATTCTTTAACTGCTAGTTTTTCCTTCTTTTGAAGCCACATACAGTATTAGGATGCCAGCCATATTGATTAAGGGCAATGGAATACTTATGTCACATTGAAATGGTGCCAGTTTGGGAAAGGCTGCTCTAAACCTTGCCTTTAATGCAGGAAATGTACATTGGGGATGGTGCCAATCAGAGGACTAATCAGGAGACATTGTGGGGCAGGGAAACCAAAAAAAAAAAAAAAAAAAAAGCAAAAATAATGGGGTTACAAATAGAAAATTACAAAACTTAGATTCTGCAAGTGACTCAGGTCACTTGAAGAAAAGCCTTTCGTAGAAGTACTCAGGAAATCGGTTAGACTTACGAGATAGTAATTTTCTTAATAAATTATAGCGTGGCAAATTTTCAGAGTTCTAGTCTTCCTATTTGCATACCCATAAGAGCCTCTTCCGAATCTTTACTTTTTATTAAACAAAGGCCTCTTTTTATTCCTTCATTGGATTTGTCCAAACTTCTGCATACTTTTTTAAAAAAAAAAACAGTATTTCCCCACAAACATGTCCCTATGTGAAGTTTAATTGTTACTAAATAAGAAAAAAGGTATTTTCAAGCATGTTAGCTAATTTGGCAATTTTGGACTTTGGGACGCGCAGACATGATCACAATGGCTATGGAGAATGGGAACTCTTTTACGTTCTAGTGCATTGTGCTCTGTAATAAGAAGGCAAGGGAAAAAAAAGATAAGAACCTTGCATTGTTCGTGCTCCTTCCATAAATCATGGGGAAATGTTTTCCAGTTAACATTATTCAAGCACTTTATAGTATGTCACGTTTCCCCGAAATGGAAAATAAGCCCTAAAATAAGTGCCAGTTAAGATCATCAGCCAAACGGACACATTTAGTAACGTATTTCCCAAATATAAGCCCTAACAGGAAAATAAGCTCTAGTCTAATGTATCTTTTGGAGCAAAAATTAATTATAAGCTCCAGCCTTATTTTGGGGGAAACAGGGTACCTGCATTTGATGGATTTCCCTATATGGATGAAAGTGAGTGTGGGCAAAACAGAAAGTATATGTATCTAGGATCAAAACAGCACCCACTCAAATATCATCCATTCTTTCCATTCCTCCCCTCCAGTCACTCTCTCCTCAGCCCATTTTAAAATCCTAATGCTTCTAGCTAGAATTACTGGAAATCAGAAGCAGCTAAGAAAGGAATGGGAAGATGGCAGCTTGGGGGTGTCCAACATGGCTGGCTGTGGAATTCTAGGAGCTGAAGTCCACAGATCTTAAATGTTGCCAAGACTCGACACTCCTGAATTAAATCTTGTACCATAATACAATGTGTTGAGGTTTAAGGCTGGGTTAAGATTCCATGTTATAATATGGAGAAAAGTACACCTTCATTACTGCAAATAGGCAACATATTATTGATTACCGTATTTTCCGGCATATAAGACGACCTTCTAAAGCATGCAAATCGGGGGTCGTCTTATACGCCGGAGATTATGGTATATTTATGTCCTGGCCATTCAACCGAAAGCTGCAGGCAATAGGGATCTTCTTACATTACATTCCTATAGCAACCACTGAGTCTTAATTGTGTCACAAATGAGTTTCCATGGCTGAAGACAGATTTTAGACTCTGAGCCGCCCCTGTACTAGTCCATCCCTTTAACTACTACTATTGCTTTCTTTTCAGCGCTGTAAATACACATAGAGGAACAAAGCACGTAGCAGAAACACATTCAGTTCATAACAAAAAAAGAACAAGGATATCCTGAAAACCCTGATTTACAGCCCTTCCTTTGGCTAAGAATATCAAACGTACCAAAAAGACAGAAAGAACGAAAGTTTTAATTCTGGTTGTAATTAATTCTACCCTGGTAACCTGGCCGGTAATCTATGCCAGAGTGGCATGGCAGCAGACATAATGCACACAAAAACAGAAACAAGCGTCATTAAGTAGAATTTAATGGCTCAGGACCCAAGACAAACACCAACTTTATACAAACGGAGAGCAAGACAAAGGTTTCCCAGGAACAGGCCCCAGACAGCCTCATTTGGTTACAGCAATTCCGAGGGCGGGCGAAAGGGAGAAGGAGCCAAATACTTAAATAGGGATAGTGCTGGCAGTGGCTTTTCAACCCAAGGAAGCCGCGAGGGATTAAAAAATAATAATAATAATCCGAAATGACTGAAGATAGCCAAATGGGAGAAGGGTAGCCGGAGCTCCAGAGCTCCTGTGAAAGGATGAGAGGGGAATAGCAGGTGCCAACCACCAGCCTCCTTTTCTCCCTGACAGATTACACGATGCTGGTGAAGGGACCGAGAGAGAAAGAGGGCGCTCTGCTTCTCTCCCCCGGGTTGATTCTGCGGCCAAGATGGTGCCCTGAGCTCAGGCTCAGAAGAGGCGACCCGGGAGAGCAGAGGGACGGGCAGAGAGGGCATGGAAGTTGGTGAAGCAGGCACCGTGGCATGGCAAAGTGGGAGAAAGGCCTCTTAGGGGCAGAGACCGATGGCCCCTTCCCTCCTTGGCTTACAGCGGGGCAGGCTGGGCACGTGGAAGCGCATCTGCTGCCTCTCTGCGCAGGATGAACCTAACCAGAGCTTGGAGGGAAAGGGTGTGTGTGTGTGTGTGGGGGGGGGAAACGGGAGCTTCAGGGATTGCACTGGGGCTCACAAAATTTTCCCCCTGCATGCCGGCACACAGCAGCCTCTGGGCAAGGGGACACAAAAGGAAACTTTCCATCTGGCAGGAGAGGAGTGAGGCAGGGGTGGAGCAGAAAGTGCTTGTGTGCTCAAAAAAAAAAAAAAAAGGGTCACAGCAGCGCCTCCTCCTCCTCCCCACGGCAGGGGTGCGCCAGGAGTGATGTGGGAGAAGCCACAAAACCAAGCCTTCGTATGTACACTGCCCTCCTCCAGCACACCGTGCTTTTTAGTCAATTTCCTCCATGTTGCTGTAGGATGGGGCGGGGTGCTCTGCAACCCCTTCTGGTGCCAGGGCAGGAGCAACATCGGCGGTCAGGCTGGATCCGAAGGAGGGAGAGCTAATGCCCTGCAAATAGAACAAAGGATTAGACAGAAACGATACAACCGCAGAGGATCCACCAAAGTTATTTGTCTTCTTCCCCCTCTTCCCACAGAGGGAATCAAGCGAAAACATTTTGTTCCGCTGGAATCTGAAACGATCAAAAGCCACAAAGTACATATTTTATGTATCAAACTAAGTTACGCTTGTATTAAAACAGAATGTGGTGGAAATAATTATAGTCTTGAAAGATGTGTGATGTTCCAGAAAAAGGACCGGACTATTATTTAGAAGCCTGTGAAATTTGTCTGTGAAATATAGCTTAATTTCAGTTTGTATTGTATATTCATACGCACACAGACACACCCACAACCTTACCAATAAGTCCCTTCTGTGTAACTACTCCTGCATAATCACTTATTAATCTAGCGTTGTCTGCTCTACACTACACAATTTGGAAAACTCTATGCCAAAGGAACTTTACAGCCCAAAAAACTGAGTGAGGCAATCTGAATGAATTATACAAATTAGCTCTTATGCTGAAGATATTCTACTACTAGCAGAGAAGAGCAAATAGCTAAAACTTTACCTACTGACTGTAAAATCCAGTAAACCATTCAGCTTTACAATTTAAAAGCATTTTTGTAGTTCTTAAATCAAAAAAGCAAAGCAAACTTGGTTGTTTAGGTTAAAACAAGAGAACCATCTTGGGGTCAACAGTCACATTCCATTATGTGGGCAGAGCAACTTGTAAACTACTTGAATGTGTGGGGAGTGCCCACCTATTTTGCTCTCCTTTTCTTCTCTCTAGTTTCTCGCTTTCTCCTGTTCATCTAGGGCAGGATGGACAGCTCATTCTTCTTAGGGATTCTGCCCCCAAATGCCTCCCCATCTGCTTTCTGAGATATCACCTGCATGTAATTAATAAGGAGTGCAATGCTATTGATTTGACAGCAAAAAGAGCCTTTGGAGTCCTCGGGGGAGCAAATGCAACCCCTACGAGAGTAATTTTGCCATTAAATTCATAGCCTTACAAAACCTATTCACTCCTTAAGGCAGCTGCAACTTTTTTAGAAGCACAGAAAAAGACCCCCCTTTTCTGCTTTCCAATCTAAAGCACCACCCAGCACTAGAAATTAAGTCTTTGCTGCAGGCTCCCATTCTCGTTTTAAATCCTCGCTGAATTTCACAGCAGCACAAAACAAATTCTGAGCTGCCACAAGATCAGAGAGCACACAAAGTTCTCTCCTAGCGCTGAATGCTCTTGCACCTTATTATTTCTACAGCTTTTCCTTTGCTGCAGGGAGCACAGCTTATTCTTTCACCAGCACCGGCACTTTAGAGGTCAATACAAAAATACGCCTGGGACCAAAGGGGATGGGAGAATCTGTTGCTTTTAGAAAAGTGGCTGCTGAATGGAAAAGCAGCGGACAGTGAAAGAAAGAGAATCAACCGAGAGTTTAGAATACCTTGATTTTTATTAAATACAATAAATAAATACAGTGAAAGTTTTTCCTCTGCACAATGCTAACTTTTCGTTCACCAAGCCAGTGGAGGACAGTTTAGGGGCTCCCCTTCTCCAAAATGGAAAGGTTCCCACCAGATCTATGTACTGGCCAGTTCCTGCTTGTTGGCATTGCTATAGTTAGTTACTGCTCATTCCTTGGGACACAGCGAGAATACTGGCCATCAGGAACAGTTAACCTGAAATCTTTTCTCCTTCCCCAAAGAATCTGCAAGGTTCTCTGAAACTACTGCTAGGAAGAATACGTAAAGATGTTAAGAATTAGATTGCATATGAATAATATTAATAAAAATAACAAAAGGATGAAACAAAGAATTATACTCATTCTAGGTTTATGAGTTCTCAACTCTTGACTCTTGGCTAAAGCCAAGGACCGGGATCAAGCTATTTGAGCCGGTAGTCTGAAGGCACAAGAGACATTTATATCTCAGACTGCAGGGCCAGATTAAAATACAAACAACAGTAACCCCTTACTTTTAGTTCTACTTTATGCATGCACAGAAATAGGCACGCAAGCATCCACAAAAGTATGTACAGAAGCAAAATGCAAGGTAATGAAGGAGAAGGAGGAGAAAACAGTGTTCCTTTACACTCATATCCAAATACAATTGCATAGCTAGCTAAATATCTAATATGCTTTTTTAAAAAACAGGGGAGACTGAACTCTCTGGTTATATCATGGTAAGGAAATCTAACCCACCAATGTTTAGAAAAGTCAACAATGCATCCTTCCTCCCTCCCTCAATAAAGGAAGAGATGGTCATTAAAAATATCTTTTGACTTCCTTCAAACAAGGAGCCAATGGCCAACTGGGGAAATGATCAGTCCTGCAATAACCGTCTCGGGGGATCTTGGTGTCAGCCAAATTTGGGGAATTCTATCGGGGCAGATGGCAGTCAGGTCAATCTTACTATCACATCATTATGGAGAAAATATTTATGGATCTGCAGACTCTACTGAACTACAGTCATTTGCTTAGCCCTTGATTCAGATTGGCATAGTTTTCAAGAGCTATTGAGGAAAGAATTATTCCAGAGAAATACCAACTATCTAATTGCTGAAGTGAGAGCTTCCTGTGACTGTAAATCCATGTAATCAATCAACTGGAGGAAAAGGGCATTGGGCCTGGCGCCTTCACCGTAGGACTGACATTAGGGCTTCATCTTGTGCTACTTGGCATCCTAGCCACTTTGCTACAAAGATGCCATGGAGGACAACACTGCAGTAAGCTGGCTGCCGCCCTCTGGTTGCCTTGCTACTGCCGCTACCTCCAGCGAGTCTGATAGATGAGCGGGTAGAAGACATTGAGGAAGAGTGCCACAATGGCCGCCATGGTGCCCAGGACAAAGTATCGGACATGGCCTTCATCAGGACACTCTGGGCTGAGTTTTCTTGTCCTTTGGCTGCCAGACCTCCAAGGGTTCCTCATCAGCCTTCTGGCAGCATCCTCTTCAGCCTCCAGTTCCTGCCAGAGCAGAGAAGCCTGCGATGTGGAAACCTGCGTCAGCACTTGAGGAGAACATCATAGCAAACCCCTCAATCACCCATGCTTTGCCCTGCCTCTTTTATCTGACTCAGTGTTTCCCAAACTTGACAATTTTAAGGCATGTGGACTTCAACTCCCAGAATTCCACAGCCAGCATTGCTGGCTGTGGAATTCTGGGAGTTGAAGTCCACATGCCTTAAAATTGTCAAGTTTGGGAAACACTGATCTGACTTGTACAGCTGCCCATCTCGCTTGCATGCGGCTATCCCAGAGAGCCTGCCCTTCACGCTGCCAGTTTTCTGAAACAGCCGATATATTTCCTCTGCCTGATTGCAATTCTAATAGTGAGGCCATGCTCAGATACAAGGACTCCTAGGGACAGAATGAATAGCACAAGCCACATGACAATGGAGTGAAAAACCTATCAGAGTTAGGCATCCATGCTGGCTGGCTTGGTGGAAATCTTCCCAGTCTGCCAACTTATTCCATTCAATAAACACAGGCGTCAAGTAATCACTTTCCATGCTTTCTTGTACAAACAAAGGACGTTCAGTTGACCAACCGGTCACACTGAGTGAGAACAGCCAGTCACAGATAAGCTTTTGATGGTGAGAACATGACACATCAGTAACCTCCAAGTGTGCGCAGGTGAGAATTTTAAAGAATGAGACGCCTAATCAACAGTTCAACTTTGGTAAGGGAAAAAGCATTAGGGACCAGACTGAGACGATAAGTAACTACAGTCATTTCTTTTTCTTTTTAATTAAACAGATGAACAGGAGATGCTAGTCACAGGGTAATCAGCCATAGACCATATTTTCATGCGCAGGGTGATCCATTCAGTACAGTCGGCCAATCACATTGATTTTTCTACTGATATTTAAAACCAAAGCATCCATAGCATCTTCCCCGTTTAGTCCCCTGGGTTCTGTGGACAGGCGGTGCTTCTTCCTGAGTTCTCAAGATTTAAAGCCTGTTCTGGGAAGGAAATGCTGGAGCTGATGTAAGGTGCCACAAGGGCCTACGGCAGTGGTTCTCAACCTGTGGGTCGGGACCCCATTTGGGGTTGAACGACCATTTCACGGGGGTCGCCAAACCACGCTGTCCGCCATTTTTTCCCTTTTCCCTAGCTGTCCTACTCCCTCTATTGGTGGCCACACCCACTTGGGGGGTCACCACAACATGGGGAACTGTATTATGGGGTCACGGCATTAGAAAGGTTGAGAACCATTGGCCTACGGTGAGTGACCGTAGGCATAAAAGAAATCACGGCTTAAGCATAAAGACCCTCTGAATAGATCTTTCTGGGCCTATTTCTCCTCCAGGGATATATGGTTTACAGAAGCCCTAGCAGACGCCACGCTCAAAATGAGCAGCAAACTGTAGGAGGTTCAGAAAGGGCAAGGATAACGCAGCCTGTCTTTCGTACCCTTGGACGAAGCCCAGAGTAACCTTTCACCTAGAAAGCCACCCCAAGATGGATACCACTATAGCACCATGGCAGCAGAATCCTAGGGCATATCTGGAACCACAGCCACACTTGTATGTAACAGTCCTCATTTCCATCTATGCTAAGATCATTGACAACGTTTCAGAGAAGCCCAGTCCCACCATATTAGCGGATGGGAAAGAGGGAGAAAGAGAAAGGAGAGGCGTCTAACTACAGAACTGAGTGCATAAGAAATTTATTTATTTATTTATATCCTGCCTTTATTATTATTATTATTAATAATAATAATTCAAGATTATCTTTGGTTGTTTGGGTTTTCTCCCGCATCAAATTGGAAATGTCTTGGCGACGTTTTGACGAAGTCTCATTCGTCATCTTCAGGCTGGTGCTTTCGGCTTCGTGCTTCTAGAAGCACGAATCCGAAAGCACCAGCCTGAAGATGACAAATGAGACTAAACGTGCCAGAGCTGGAAAGCAGGTTAGTGTTGAATTTTTTTGCTTTTGGGAGAAGCGGCAGAAAATGGGGCTGCCATTTCTAGAAGGGAGACGCAGGGCGGTGCAGGGCAGCAAGCAAGTGCTCTTCTCTGCTCTGCATCACTGCGCACAGCCGCTCCGCTTCCCGTTGTCCCCAGTAGTGGCGATGAAGGGCTGACGGAAGGAGGCGCCGCAAGCCATAGGAATTGGCGGAGGAGGCGGCAGCTGCCGCTGGACAGGTGATCTGTGGGGTGGAGCATGAAGAAAGCCCCTCCAGCAGCGCACAGCAGCCGTGGAGCCTTTCGCCGTCACTCCCTCCTGGCTCCGAAACAGTGGAGGGAGAGCAGGCGTATTCCGCCTATCCTCTGTAGGTAACATGGCAGTCCAGCTTGGCAGGGGAGTGAGAGGGAGCAAGGAATGGCCTGGCTGGGGGGGGGGGGCTGAAGGAAGCAGGTGCAGGGTGCGTGGGGCAGCTCCATCCCCCCCACCTGCCTTGTGTTGTTGATGTGCTGCATGGCTTCCTGCCCCATTGCGGCAGCCAGGTGGGAGAGAGTGGGCGGGGTCCTAATTAGGGCTTATTTTTGGAGTAGGACTTATATTAGGCCCACCCCCCAAAATCAGGGCAGATCTTTTTGGGGGGGGGCGTGGTTTATTTTTGGGGAAACACGGTACTTAATACAGCATTCATTCCTCCTCTATTTTCCTCACCACAACGACCCTATGAGGTGAACTGGGCTGGAAGAGACTTACTGGCTCAAATTCACCAAGCCAGTTTTCATGCCTTGGACCTCTCTGGCTGCTTTGAGTTCTGTTGCGCTGCACGGTCCCCAACAATTTACTATTATCTCTTGAAATATGTATTCCACAGAGAAAATATCTTCTGCCCCAGCCTCTCTAAACTCAACTCTGCAGTTTTGAGCTGACGGATGCCTTCTGGCTCCTGAGAAGGAAACATCTCTTCCCCCCGCCCCCCCCCCACCAACAGACACACGCTTGCAAGTGTTTCTCATTTTTGCAGTTATTTTTCCCGGCATCTAATATACTTGTGTTTCTCCAACATTTCACTGGGATATACCAGAGGACAAAACAGCACCCACAACTCCTCACTCTCACAGCCACAGCTGCAAGCAAGGCCCAGCAGATACTTCCTCAATTGTCAACAGTGAAAAAAACATTAGTTCAGTCTAGTCTTCTAAGGTGGACTGAAGGGACTCCTCACCTGACTGGCTGCTGTTTCTGCAGAGGGGGCCAAGTCAGCTCGAGCGTCTGAGGGATGAGGGGGTCCTCGAGGGGGTCTATCTACAGGAGAATTCCGTCGGCGGTAGAAGAGCACGTAAGCATATCGCGTCACGACCTGGCTTTCATCCACCGTGGTCACGGTGCTGTCGTCAAAGAGCCTCCAACCTGAACAAAGGGAGGAGAGGGATAAGCATGGAGTCTTTCAAAGCACCGACTGCCTAGTTCAGAGCCCTACCTACCGTATTTTCCAGCGTATAAGGCGACCTGGCGTATAAGACGACCCCCGACATCGGCGCCGATTTCCATGCCTAGAAAGTCGTCTTATCCGCCGGAAACTACTGTAATTTCCGGCATATAAGACGACCCGGCGTATAAGACGACCCCGACTTCGGCGCCGATTTCCACACTTTAGAAAGTTGTCTTATACGCCGGAAAATACGGTACCAATTCTGCTCCTGCCATCTCACATCTCTGAAAGTGATACCTCTCTTTTAACTTACACACTCAAACTTAATTTGCACCGTGTGTATTTTGATTCCATAGTTTTGGTGTCTTGCTATCAGCACTGCATTCATGGGCACTGCTTTCACGGCAGTGGTGGCACACTGGAGGAATGAGTGTTGGTCAACAGCGTTGTTCAAAGGAGAGGCTATTCTCACTGACTCTCCTTCTTTAAATGTATGCAGCGCAGGGAGAAATATTTAATGATGCTAAACTCCACTATCTTTTCTGACTGCGATAAACCAAGCATCAGGAGGACGACATTACTAACAGAAGAGATAGGAGCAACTCGGGGAATAGCAGTTATAACCTTTCAACGATTCGTCCTCTGGTCCACTTTGGCAGTTTGTCTGATGACTAGAAGATGCTAGAACTCTATCCTAGTTCTCTAAGAGCAAGGAGGCTAAGTAACCAGATTCTAGACTCTGTGCAAATTATATATGGAATAACAATAGTCCTGCTTAGTCCTTTCCCAGCAAATAATCCTCTTTGGGGGGGGGGGAAACGTCAGTATCAATATCCTACTGAGCACATGCAATAGTTAATCAGCTTTCTACCATCCATCTTCCTAATCCCCAAATGTGGAAGGAATTTTTAATGCATATGACCTTGTGAGGGCAGAGGAATTAAAAATAGCCATTCTGAACTACTGTCCAATTCCCTGTTAATTTGGAGCTGTTCTTGGCTACTTCAAGTGGTCCTTCACTATATCCAAGCTTGTTTCAACAAGGAAACAGGGACAGTTCCTTTCTCCTTTAAAGTGAATGAAGCAGGCAAAACAACACTGAAGAGCAGTGTTCTTTCTATAATGGAGGAAGGTATCTTTGCTTCAAAGGCAACACCAGGCTAAATACCCCAACTAAGCATTCCTCTCAATTCTGGCTGTGCCTAACACTGAATAATGTGGTATTTGCAGAATCCATTGAATCTGTGACAAATTACCTATTTTTTATATTTTTGTCCTCTGCCAAGGAAGGGTTTTTTTTTTTCTTAAAGTGAGAACACTCCCAGAGGAGCACACTGAAAATTCAATATTCCTCCTCTGGAAAACAGCTAAGGGCTGTCAGTGGATGTCAGAGAACTTCCATTGGAACTGAGGCCATTCTAAATTAATCTCTAAGGTTGCCTGATCTATTAACCTTTCTGTTTGCTTGATAATATGAAACAGAATAGAATTAACAAATAAGCCTGGGCAGGCTGAGAGCAACTAATGGTGCCTCAAAGATTCATGATCCCAATCGCACCACTTACACATGGCACATTATCTCACTGAATTCTGCAGATAGATCCATTTAGATAAGGAAGAAGGACTGAACTAAAACCTAGATCTGCACTGTGCAATCTGAAGGGAGTGAGATTTGCTATGACTTGCATCCATTGTGCAAAATTCTTGTAGAACAACAACAACAAAAAGATTTAAGGGCTGGGACCAGAAAAGGAGGGTGTTTTTTCCTCCTTCAACTGGATGTGCAATCTTAAGAGTCATATGGCGTTGATCCTAGGTTTCCATGAAACATCTAGCACAGGGGTGTCAAACTGCCGGCCTATGGGCCGGATGCATTCTAGCGAAACCATACCCACACCATTGCCGGCAGTGGCAAAAAAGTCACGATACATCACGACACGTCACGTGACGTTGCGAGTTTGACACCCCTGCTCTAGCAGGAAATGGAAAATCCCTCTTCTACATGGATTCCCTGGCTCACCTGTTGAAGGTCAGTGGACCTAAAGCCTACTCACCCACATCACTACGTTGGCTGTTCTTGTCACTAGGCAGCCGGGCATAGGCTGTGTAGTGCCCACCAATTATGCCCCCGTAGTGATTGATCACTGCATATAGATCATACATGGGCAACTGCTGCTCATCCTTCTGGCCAATGCAGAACTTGCTCAGGTCCAAGCTCCTGAGGATAGAATAGAGCAAGTTAGACAGCTGCATACTTTTGTGCCTAATTCCATTCCTATCATTTTTTTTCTTAGAGGCAGCCCAGCCTACCAGCTGACATTCTTTATTGAGAAAGTCTTCATTGTCTCTTTATCTGGACTTAAACTCAGATCAATACAAGCCATACAATTACAGAAGACTGAATACAGCAAGGGACTCTCAGTGGCAGCCATTGGATCATATATAAAAGAATTTTGAGAGTGCTGAGCTGAAAAAAAAAGTGCTGCTTTGAATTTACTCTCTCTCGTAAAGGAGTGGGCATCTTTGAAGAAAATCAATCTGAAACGGGTCAGGACCCAAATTCTGATTTGAATTCAGAAGGAAATAATCTTATTTTGTCAATGGTTAATGGCATATTTGCCTCTACTTTTTTTTTTTTAAAAAAAATCCCAAATATCTGAGCTCAGCACAGGTATCTTCTTTCTTGAACAATCATGTGATCACGCATGGTCTGATAATCATCCACATAACTGAACTGTGTGCAAGTGATTATAGAATTTCGGTCTATATAGAAGAAAAGGAAGAGAGCAAAGGAGCCGTTTAAAATTTCAGTTATGGATTTAAGGAAGGAAATCTTCATTTGACAGCAACAACAACAATAGAACCCTGCTTTTGGAAAAACTCAGAAAAAAAACCTCAGCCTTAACAACCAATGTCCAAAGCCGTAAGACTCCAAGTGTGTCTCTAACCAGATTATTAATCATCCACGTAATAATTCTAAGAAAAAAGAAGATGAAGGTGATGAGTTTTTGCGCTATTCCAAATGCACACCAAGCTTTTGTTTTCAGAGCAAAGAAGACGGAAACAGAACCCAATGTACTTAGCGACCGATTCTGCTTCTAGAATTTCAATCAGAATTTGATTACTGCTTATGAAAGAGATTGAAAGAATCCCATCCCATTAACCAAAGTTAAGATTCCTATAACCAAGAGGCGTCTGATTCAGGCTGTTAGATTGGGGTTTCATGCTTGGCATGTTCTTTTTTTAAAAGATCAGAAAACTAATGATAAAAAGGTGTAGAACGCAGTGCAATAAATATGCATTTACCACTATACAGTATTTCTATACTGCTGACTCTACAAAGACTCCTGATAGCTTATGTTATACTGGGGGTTGCCCTTTTCTTGCAAGGGCTGCACCCTCTTGCTGTAGAGACTAAAGTAGTAGAAGGGCCAATAGCCTTATTCAGCGCATGGTTGATATGTCCTGCCCAAAGAGGAATGTCAGCATTGCACAAAGACACTCAGGTGGCTTTTTTACTTTTCAGCTGGTTTGCCTACTCCACAATCATGCTCAAACAGGGCAAGCTATGGAGAGACCAACATTACTTCTGAGGTCATTCACTTTATGAAACGTGCTCCAAAACCTCCCCATTTAATTCATGGAGAGAGAAAAATCAAGTGGAGCGGCTTTGATATACAAATTGCCATCCTGTCCACAAGCTGAATCAAAACAACAGTGCAGAGTTTAATTCAGCTCCAAAGATTAGATTTTCCTTGGCTCCTGTGGTTCAGTTACCTCAGAGGCAGACTATAGGTAGACCTTGCCTTTTTGTTACCCTTCCTCTAGTCTCTTATTTCCTCCCTCTTCATGAAGGAAGCAGAGCCTTTCTCCATATAAAGGAAGATAAGAAGAGATCGCTCTCTCCTTCCTCTTGTTCAGATGCCCTTCAAGAAGAAAGGCAAGGTCTCTGTGGGCCAGAGGCAGGCAGATCCTCTTTAAGTCTCTTTCCACATTTACTCGCCCTTCAAAATGGTGTCGTCCAATACCAGAAAGATCAAAGGCACAGAACCAAGGGGAAAGAGTTCACCAAAAGACTGACAATCTCTTTATGTGTTAGGTGAGTTGGTTCTGAATTTATGACAAAGCCCAAATAGGATAACCCATCCTTTGCTACACAGAAAGGTCCTATCCGAAGAATTGCTTGGGTCTCCGTGACGTTAAAGAGATGAGTAAAGCGACACACCTTGCCGTAACCTCACCTGACTGGGAAATCCACCATGTCATTGATCTTATCTCTCCAAATAAAGCTGCGGAAGGAAAAGCGCTTGAGCTGTATGATGAGGATGTTGGGCAGACGCCATAACATCAGCTGCTTGGATGCCTCACGGTGCTGCTTACACTTTGGGCAGTACCTGTGGAAAATGGAGTATGTGGAAAGATAAAGAAGGTTCCTTGATATCTCCTGCTGTTCCTGTCAAGCAAAAGAGTTCTGGTATTCTCACTAAAGAAAACCAGCACAATGGCCCTTGGAGCACCCACCTCAAAAGAAACATGTCTAGCACCACAGAGTTTTCTGGAAAAAAAAAAAGTATTTGTTTCTTGGGTTCTATTTGAAAGGGCTTGCTATTGGTTTCTGATAATTGGTTCATTTTTAACTCTTATTATTGTGAGAATGTGCAATCTTGATAGTGAATTCTATATTTTAGAATTTGATATATCTTGCAAACATCGTAAGTGGTGAACTCAATCTAATGCTAGTACCGCAAAAAGTGTGTTGGGGTGAGTCTCCTGTGGACCTCAGCAAGGCCCCCTCTTTTGTGAAGCCCAAGAGTAGGAAGGACCAAAGGTGTGGGGCCCCCCTTTTTTGCATTCTGGGGTTCACAGATGCTTAAGATGCATCCATTTCATCCCTTAAAATTCCGAGCCCTAGACCAGAGGTGTCAAACTTTACGAGGAAACCGCATCCACCCCATTGCCGGCAATGGGGAAAAAGTTCCGATACGTCACGCGACACCACGTGACGTCGTGAGTTTGTCATGTTTGCCATAGACCAAAACAGGCCCTGCAGTGCAATTCTTGATGTGTCACACAAAGCCTGGCGCCGCTCTCTCAAGCTGGCAGAAGGTATGCTCCCCCTCTTGATAAAGCTAATAATAAAATTTCTAAACTCAAAAGATGATCACAACAGGCACAGTTAAGAGGCTAATTTAGTAAACTGATGACAAAATCTGAATCTCTTAATTGAGAAAAAGTTCTCCATGTTCCATCATTTAGTGAAGAACATGATGTGCCTAGGTAATTTATTCTTGACAGCTGGGTATGTCTGAGTGACAATCCCAATAATTACACTATTTAGCAGAGCTCTCCTGCAATGCCGAGGGAGACAGATCATAAGCCTGTCAATCCTTTTGGCAACTTTGGCTGGCATCAAGCAGAGTAACATCAGAAAGCTAGACTAAGGATCGAAGGCACAGGGTCTGGTAGCCCTCCTGGATTATTTGCCAGCTAGTGCCCTGGAAAGAGGCTAGTTTTCATCTCATGGTCTGGGGGATGCCACAGGTTGTCCTTTGTCCTCTATGCTCCTTAATGTCAATGTAAATTGCTGAGGGATGTCATCTGGAGTTTTGAGCTAAAGTGTCCTCAGCAGGCAGGCGACAGATTGCTCATTAATACTTAGGAACCCTGAAACATGACTCCTGAGAATATTTTGGACTGGATGAAGGAAAACAGAAATTTTATTGTGGTGGGATTACTGGCTAAAGGAGAGGAGGCCCCTCTAGATGAAGTAAAGAGACATTCCAGCTTGGAGTCAGTTCGGGGGAGGAAACATCTGAGGTCAAATCCTTAGGTCTATATCTGCCTGTTTCCAAGAGAAGGCAGGCAATCTGGCGAGATTCTTGTAGTACAGGTGATCAGCAATAAAGTATCTACTCGGTCCTATTCATGGAGTGGTTTTGGCTGTTTGCACCTGACATTAATGCAGACAAAATTGTGACGCAGAAGGAATCTGTGAAACTGAATGGAAGCATACTCCTGGTTTTGGGTGGGTCTCTCCACCAGGCAACTCCTCCTCCCGCCCCCCCCCCCCGGTCCTTGGTCTGCAACAAGCTGTTATTCTCTGTGCTAGTGCAGATGGTGGCAATGGCTCTGAGTGTCTTTCATGCCAGACTTTCTTTCAGTCAACTCAAAGTGCTGACCTTTTTAAGCATTATACACATTGAAACAAAGGGATACATTGCTTCCACAAACAGGTTTCACAAGACCTTCTGACCCCCTAGAGTGTCATTGAAGGTACAGAACAGAGCTTATTTTAAGGGATGGCCTCCTTCCCAATAGAGAGCTAACTCTGACTTTTATTCATTTCAGTCAGACTTTAAATATCCCTTTCCCCAATTTGTTCTTGAGCTGGATAGAGTTAACAATATATTTTGTGATTAAGCTGATTTTACTATATTAAGCTATTCTTCCATTGCCAAGATTTTGCTAAATATATAGTATTAATGTGCCAGGTTTTATTGCATTATATTATGTATTTCTTTATCATTTATAAACTGCCTAGGGGAGTTTTTAAAATTTATAAAAACATAAATGTTTATAATTTCAAAGTGTTTGACATGCTTATAAAGCATGTCAAACACTTTGAAATATAACAAAAACAATTTGTCCAAATGTCTGATTTATTAAATGAATCTGGTGACCTATAAATACTGTGATATAAACAAAGTATATCTTGCCTCTCTGTTTATGCAACACTCAAGAAGAATTATAGCAATTACAAATGCAAATTGGAAAACATAAAAAGTACTCAAAGTCAAGGCAAAATTAAAATTAATGCATTTAACACCCAAACAATTCAGCTAATAACCAAATGCTTGACAAAAGATATTAGTTTTTGCCATTTTCCTAAAGAACACTGCTTGGAGAGTGGGGGCCCGGGATACCACATGGGAAGTGCATCCTATAGATTGGTGAATATGTAAAACTACAAATTTTTATTCAAACATATACACTGATTCAGAGGATTTTAAATATTAATATACAGTTGAGACCAGTCGTCTTTCTTTTGAGATTAATGAACAAACAGTTGGGAAAAAGTCATGAAACTTTGTTTTTGTATATGTTAACTGCACAGTAAGACTATTGTAGACACAAAGATGGAAAGATTCAGCATTATTCATAATGGAGGAATGCTTGATGAAGATGATGGAACTTGCTGAAAGTCAAACTGACTTCTTCAATTAGAGAAAAGGCAACACCTATGTTTATAGCTGACTGGAAACACCCTATGGACTTTTTGTGCAAAACAGAAAAAATGAACTTGTGATTTATGTTTTATTAGACAGGATAGATTATAGAGAGAGAAGAAGAATTGTAATGTAACTTTAGAGAAAGGGCAAATTTAAAATTGTACTTAGAACAACTATAAAGAAGCTTGGAAGCCACTTTTTCATATCTTTCTTTTTCCTTCTTGCATTTTGAGCCTTTTCTTTGATTTCTTTTTTCGTTCTTCGTATTAGTCAGCATTAGTTTTTATGTTCCTTTTCAAAAGTTTCAATAAAACTACATGGAAAAAAAGGGAAGCATATTCCAGAGCCACATAAGGTCCTTTCCCCTGTAATAAATAGTTCAGGCTTTGGCAGCATAGGGACCATCAAAAGGGCCTCTCCTACTGACCTCAGTAAATGGGCAAACTGACTGGTGGGGAGGTGGGGCCTCAAAAAGGCAGGCCCTAAATCAGTAGTGGCGAACCTATGGCACCTGTGCCAGAGGCGGCACTCAGAGCCCTCTCTGTGGGCACATGAGCCAGGCCCCGGAGATGCCAACTGTCCCTCTTCAACCAGCCACCCGCTAACTTGCCAAGGTCCCATGTGGCCGGATGCATCCCAGCATCCACGCGCTCTCTGGCCTCTGTGTGCAGGGGCCAATGGTGTCAGGCAGCAGCCGCCCAGCCCCTGCCTTGCCTTGCCCTGCGACAATGGCACCCCCGCCCTGTCTCGCCTTGCCTCACCCCACAGGACAAGCCTCCTGCCAACCGCCCCACCTGCCAGAAACCCCCTGGATCTCCCCCAACCTTGCCCAGCCCCCACATGCGTCCCTCCCCATGAGCAACATCAAGGTGATCATGCCCACCTTGGCCACACCTACCCAGTCTGCCATGACCACCATAGCCACGCCCACCCAGCGGACCACACCCACCTGGCACTCGGCGATAAATAAGTGGGTTTTGGGTTGCAATTTGGGCACTCGGTCTCTAAAAGGTTCGCCATCACTGCCCTAAATCGATGTTTCTCAACCATTGGGAACTTCTTTTAAGATGTGTGGACTTCCAACTCCCAGAATTCTCCAGCCAGGTGCTGGCTGGGGAACTCTGGAAATTGAAGTCCACACATCTTAATGCTCCTAAAGTTGAGAAACCCTGTCCTAAGGTATTCAACATGTTAAACATCAGCATCAATACGTTCAATTATGCTTAACGTCATATATTTCTTCTATCAGTTAGCAGTCTAGACACCATCTTTTGAATCAAATTCAATTTCCAGATGCAACTCACTACAGTAGTGATCTGATGCAGCAGGGGGTTGAATTAGAAGACCTCCAAAGTCCATTCTAACTCTATTATTCCATTATACCCAAGTTGTCTGTAGTCATCACTCAGTCTAATCAACATAGGAATGGTTACATTGGTATACTTGTGAAACTAGGGAACACATGTTCCTCATTGGAGCCATTGTACGCAGATCCAGAGAGCTGAGAATCAAGAAGTTCTTTCAAAGGGCAAACCTGCTCTTTCGGTGAGAGGGAAAACCCTATCTAAAACGAGCTTCATTTGTTTCCTAAGTCCCACTTTCTCATTACGTTTAAGCAACATTCAAGGATGCATAGTGCCGCCTCGGAATTAGATGTTAATTGGAGCTTTAATCAAGGTTAATTAAAACTGTAAAAAACCACAGCACAGGGGACGGGATGCAACCTTAAAAATCAGAATTTTAGATTCATTTACTTTACTCTCCATCCATCCATTTTGGAAATAGCCTTAAACAGAAACCCCACAAATCTCTTCCTTACCAGGCCTCCTCAGGGGCCAACACCTCTGGCTTGGTGAAGAGATTGAGACACTGTTCCAGGGTGAAGTGTCCTGCCCTGGCTGCTTCGCTGGCAGAGCTTGGATCCTCGACACACTCCAGCTCCTTAGACTTGATCAACACAAACTCCTTCATCCTTTCATTATTTTTCCACACCAGGGCCAAAGAGCAGTCATTGGTCAGGTCTAGGGGAGCATCTCCTATAAGGCAGAAAAGGTTAGAGGTACCGTTGCTCATTCCTCCATGCTGGGCCTAAAGAAGCACCCAAGAAATCGTTCGAGAGGTAGCTCCCTTTTTTCTTGCTCATACAAAGCAGAGAAAGGCACATTTTTTTGGCATATTTTTAACACTACTCTGTGAATTAAGAGCAACTTACAAGCCTTAATATACTGCTAGGCTACACGCTGGCTCTCCAGGATAGTGGATGGGAGAGGTATTATGCCACTGAGGGGAGAGCAAAACAAGATATGCAGCAAAAGGGACGCATCAAACTCCATTGTTTCTGCAACTTTACAACAAAAAACAAAGCTGGAAGGCAGCCGAGGAGGAGGAGGAGTAAGAAAAAAGTTGGAAATTCTGGCTCTCAATATTGTGTTTTCCTGCCTAAGACTTCCGCTGGTTTGAGAAATCTTGAGGAGTATATATTACATGTCTGATACTGGACAGATATTTCAACATTCTATCAGTCAGAATATTTAGGATACCAGTATTTGCTAAACGTAGGTAAGAGTTGATGAACAGCAATACTGAAGGATGAGAGCAAGGAGATACATGAGCAGTATTTCCAGCAGTTCTTAATACTTTGTATTGCAGGATCTCACAATAACAAATTATATATGCTTACTTGCAATAATTATATATGCCACATATTTGCTGTAGATCAGTGGTTCTCAACCTGTGGGTCGGGACCCCATTTGGGGTCGAACGACCATTTCACGGGGGTCGCCAAACAACGCAGTCCGCCATTTTTTCCCCCTTTTCCTTAGCTCTGCTACTCCCTTTTATTCTATTGGCTTTTGAAAGCCAATAGAATAGACTCTCTTGAATAGAGTCTAATTCTAATGGCTTTCAAAAGCCAATAGGAATTGTCCAGGCTGTCTCTGCCCTGCTGAGCCCGCCAAAAGTCCCATTCTGCAAACGGTGCTGCGCCAGTTGAGTAGTCCTCGACTTACGACCGGTTGAGTAGTCCTCGACTTATGACCGGTTGGGGGTTGCGGCATTAAAAAGGTTGAGAACCACTGCTGTAGAGGTTCATAACATTAGCATGGGAGCTATAAAGTCCTGTGAATAACATCCATCCATCCATCCATCCTTCCTCATTTACTTTCCAATGGTTCAATGGCAGCTTCTCTTGGTTCAAGAGACCAGATCTATCTATAGATGATAATCTATGCCTGAATCTGCATGGTTCTACCTGGCATGTCCCAATCAAACATTAAAGTTGTCGTTGTCTTGGGAACATTAAGCTCTTTTAATCTGAACTCTCACCTTTATCCTCTAGTTTCTGCTCCTTGCTGGTTGCATCAATTTTATTGATGTAAAACTGAGTAACTTGAGAACTCAGCCCTTCGGCTGGATGCTGGTAACCCAGAATGGCAGCTATAGGGTGGAGAGAGGGGGGGGGGAGAGAGAGAGTCAGCGACACAGGACAGCTAGCCAGCTTTTCTTTTTCCTGATCAAAACTCAAATCCCCTTCTTGCAGTCTGAGAAGCCGATAAATAGAAAGCAGCATTGTTCAGCATGCCTCAGCTATGAGGAACTACACAAAATACTCAATGGCTCTGCCACAGAATCATTATTCCTCATCATTTTATTCTGAGCTCTGCCACTCAGCTGTAATTCAGCCTCCTGAAGTACATGGAACAAACTGTTATCCTGATCCCAACCCTCCACGTCATGCTTCAAAAGAAGACAGGAGAAGCAAAGAAAACACAACAATACAAATAGCTGATGATATCGATTTCACATTTGGTTCCTTGAAAGAGCTAAGGGTAGGAGTCACACAGTTTGCTTATTGCCCCTATTACCTCCACAGAGATACATAAAGAAGGAATACAAGGTAAAGCTGGATCACAGTTGGGCTGAAAAACCGTCAGGATTCCCTTGAAATGCAGCTTTCAACCAAAGGATGGCAGAGAAATCTGGGTTATTCACCTTCTGGCCTGGGGACTCTTTCGTAGGGTAGCTCCCGTTCCATACAGCTCTCAAGCTGCGATTCTGCAGATGGCTCAGAGTAGCCTGAATCTAAGCTTAGGTCTGAGTTTCTCCCCGTGGGGACCTTGGTTCTGGCTGTGCTGGCATCCCCTAATTCAGGCTGTAGCTCGGGGGCGGAGAGAGACGTCTGGGGCTCCTGCAAGAGGTGTGGGGCCCTTGCTCCCTCCCCAGGTTCCAGAGTGCTAGTTTCAATGGTAGTGGTGACAGCAGCAGACCCAACTGTAGCACAGCTGTTCCTGACAGGAGGATCTTGTTTTTCTGAAGACAGAAGAGGCAGGCCTTGCTCGGATGGCACCCTACCCACCTGGAAAGGTGGTTGGAACACACTGACTGAGTACCTGAGAAGGAGCAGTAGAGCAGCTGATCAGAATGCAGTCTTACACCTCCCTCCCTCCCTCCCTCCCTCCCTCCCTCCCTCCCTCCCTCCCTCCCTCCCTCCCTCAAAGCAGCTGTTCCTGCAAAGGCAACAAGCCCAGTCTAGCCCAAGCCTACAAATGAGCCAGACAGGCACCAATGCCCAAGAACACTGCTGGCACCGAGATATTTTACCTGGCGTAGCCTTCCAAAAGTTGAACTAGTCGTGCATAGGTGAGGCGGGACTCGGGTATGCTGATAAGAAAGGGGAAGCCAATATTCTCAGGGCGGCACAAGGTCTTGTGGCTGGACCAGTGCGTTCTCTGACACACTCTGAAAACAAAGAGATAACAAGTCTCCCATGGGGAAAACTAACGAGTCTCTCCCCGGTCCCAGGCAGCTCCCCCCCCACCGCAAAAAAAAAGGGAGTCTTTGGCTTTGAGAGCAAGCAAGGGGGGGGGGGTAACTCACACGTTGCAATAGCCAACCCGATAGCACCGAGTGCAGCGCTTCAGCTTCTCTTCCTCCGACTGCTGCTTTTTCTGACAGGCGGCACATTTGGTGATGGGGATGCTGGTCACCTGAGGGCGCTAAGAGAAGATCCCCCACTTGATAAGCCAAAACACAAGCCATCATCCAGGAGCCGTTTGAAGTTACGATGGCGCTGAATGAAGGGACTTGTGAACAAAATTCACAGGCACCTGGCAACCGGCTTGCACGTGACCACTTGCCGGCTCTCACGGTCACGTGAACGCCAATTGCGACCTACCCTGCCAGCTTCTCACAAGCAAAGTCAGTGGGAAAGGTTGCAAATCGCTTGGGTAACTCTCCCCTGCCTTTCTTCACTCATTTGCATCACACCCTCCTTGCCCCCTTCACTCACACGCATCCTGCAACATCTTTCCCCAGCCTTCCTGTGCTTGCACCTGCACACATACGCACACACAAGCACGTAAACACCAGCGCTCTCCATCCCAGGTTACCCTGTGCTTGCACACGAGCATAACCCCACGTCCCCTTTCCCTGGCTTCTCCGTGCTCGCACTCATCCCACATCCTCCTTCCAATGCTTTCTGCACTTGCGCATTCACATGCATCCACCAGTGTCCTCTTTCCCTGGCAGCAACTTCTTTTCCCAACACACGTGTAGCCTAGACTGGGCTTCCCTAACCCCCCCTCCCCCACCACCCTTGCTCCTTACCTGGTCTCCTCCCACCCCCCATGTTGTCTGGGGTTACCTTGACAACTGGGATTGTCTGAAGGCCGAGTGACTGTGCTTTGTGACTGCATCGCTTAGCAATGGCAATCCGGGGTCTCAATTCCAGTGGTAATTCAAGGATTACCTGTATGAGCTGGGCAGGAAGGGATCTGGGATGATCTCAACCCTCCTGTGCGTTTGAGCATTTGAAGGAGCTTGTTCTTGGGCTGGTTCAAAAGATGCAACCTCCCCTGCCTTCTTTGACTTACGTTCTACTGAGGCCACTCACTTGTTGGACCTGCAGCTCCACCACCCTCTCCTTAGCCAGCTCTGGAGAGAGCACCTCAAAGCACAGCAGAAGATCTGTGGGAGAGACGGCATCCAGCGACTGGGAAGGCAGGAACATACGGTGGAAGCGATTCTTGATCACCTGAGACCAAAGAGAAAAGAATGGGAGTCATGCCTCTGGGAAAATGCCGGCCGGCCGTTTTCACCAAACTGTTTGCCTGAAAACTTGGCCATCACAAGAGGTTGTACGGGTAATACCGTAGATGGCTGCACAGAAGACCCCTTAAAGATTGTAAACCACCCAGTCACTCAGACAGTGAGAGGAGCAGTGTATAAACTTGATTAAATAAATAAAAAAATAAAAGTGAAAGTATAACCACTGCCACTACCATAAAAAAAAAAAATCCTCAAATACTGTGGTTGCTCTAAACAGCAAATATACATCTGGCCTGCCTGGGAGCTGCTTAACAGGTCATTTTCAAGTAGAAGGCTGAGCTAAAGACTTTGCTAATCTGACTCCGTATCTTATATAGTTCGTGTTGCAGTGTGGCAGGGTTCTGCTCAGATTTCCCTCTGCTCCCTTTTGTGGATATTACTTCCCATCCCCACTCTTGATCTTCTGTGTCTTTTCTCTTGGATGGCCATCGTGCCGTACCTGCTAAGCATGCAAAGTTCTACATTAGTAGGAGGTTGACTAGCATTGCAAAGCCTGTGGCTGAACATATATACCAGTGGTGGCGAACCTAGGGCACGGGTGCCAGAGGCGGCACTCAGAGCCCTCTCTGTGGGCATGTGCGCCATCGCCCCAGTCCTAGGTCTTCCGCTGGGTTTTATAAAACCTTTTCGCTTTAGGCCTCCGCCACCATGTAAAAAAAATAAGGTTCAATCAATCAGTCAATTTTAACTTCTCGCGGGAAAAAAAAAGATCTTGCAAAGTTGGAATTGATTGAATTTTTTAATCCCACCCAGTCTGCCATTATCACTGCAGCTGCGCCCACCCAATGGGCCACGCCCACCCACTGGGCCACACCCACCTGGCACTCGACGATGCATAAGTGGGTTTTGGGTTGCAGTTTGGACAATCAGTCTCTAAAAGGTTTGCCATCAGTGATATATACTTATCAGGGCTATATAGATGCCTGCAGGAGTCTTGCTCTTGCTTCCAATAAACTGATGTTCATAGGAAGCACTGCTGAGGAAAAGGCTTTTGTGGGCTGAGATTTCCATATTGCTGTCGGCATCTTTATTCCCAGAGGTCCGAAACCATCACCAGATGTGCCTTCCACAATGTATTATCTATTGTTTTTGAGAAACTTTTTTTTTTTTTGGTACTTCTGTAAAATGTTACTTCTCTCATCAGGCTGATATTGCCCCTTCTTGTATGATTTCACAATGTAAGAGGATGAGTTTAGCATTAATATGCAACACTGTGTTTGTGACAGTGGTTAGGAAGTGGAGAAAAACCAGCAGATGTGGCAAGCAGAGTCTACTTGCGGTTTAGTAAACAGAAAAGGGAGGTAATTCCTATTCAGTCCTTTTCTTAAGAACAAATATCTAGGTTATCCATCTATGACATTTTTAAAAATTTGTTTTTCCTTTAGATCATAAATATACTTCCAGTTTTTATTCTCTTTCCCCCATTTTAAAATAATACCATATGTAGAGCCATGTAACTACATCCAGGACTTTTGAAATTCATTGCATATATACCGTATCAATATACCATATCCAAACTTGTAAGCATTTATTTATTTATTTATTTATGAGACTTATATACTGCTTTAAGTGCAAGCACTCTCTAAGCGGTGTACACCAGTAAGCAATGTATATATATATTTACATTGCCCCCAACAATCTGGGTCCTCATTTTACCTACCCCGGAAGGATGGAAGGCTGAGTCAACCTTGAGCTGGTGGGATTTGAACCGCTGACCTGTTGAATACAGTCAGCTAAAGTGGCCTGCAGTACTGCACTCTAACTGCTGCGCCACCTCGGCACCATGACAGACGAATGAGAAAAGCCAACAGTTTTAGTTATAATAAGGGAAATGGAGCCTACTCTTAGTGATGATTTCGTCTTATAAACAAACTCCAATAAAAGGTAAGCAACAGGACAAAGCCTGAACTGATCGGGGCAGCCTTTGCTACAGTATATAATTTCATGTCATCTTAGAAAATAAGAAAAAATGTGTGCATTTGGGTCCTAACCACGAGCCACAGAACACCTTAACAACAGGTGGAGGCAGCTGGTTACTGAAACCAATGAGGCAGCCAGATGTACAACTGAATTCTAGAGACTACTTGTCAGTCAGATTAGTAGATCTCATGAAAATGATTTTGAGGACCTGCCCATGTCATCATCAATTAGATCAGAGGTCCCCCAGCCTTTTGGGCACCAGGGACGGCTTCTGTGGAGAGAGGTTTTTCCATGGACCGGAGGGCGTGAGGTTTTGTGTGCTGCTTGCATCTCACAGATGGGGCTTTGCTTGTTTCTGCGGACCGGTTGCTGGCATGCTGCAGCCTGGGGCTTGGGGACCCTGAATTAGATAACTGAGACATGTGCTGTGAAAAAGCATGGCATCCAAAGCAAGAAAAATCCTGGAGGCTCTCTGAATACCAGGAAAACTCAATTCGTCCTTTTGGGCATCAGGGACCGGTTTTGTGGAGTGGTTTTTCCACGGACCGGAAGGGGCATTATTCTGCATGCTGCCTGCATCCCGTGGATGGGGCTTTGCTTGTTTGCGCGGCTCGGTTTCTGGCATGCTGCGGCCTGGGGCCAGTCCACGGACCAGGAGACTGCCCCTGAAGACCACTCAGAAACTTTAACTGATTCAGGATGCAGCAGCACACATAGTAATGGGGGTGGTGGTGGTGCTAGATTTGCCCATGTAACTGTTGCGCAAGAGACATTGACTTCCAGTTTCTTTCCAGGTGTTGGTAATAACCTTTAAAGCCTTATATGGTACAGGGCTAGACTATCTGTGGGACCGCCTTTCCCTAAGGACATCTACCTGTCCTACCATCTATAGCAGGGGTGTCAAACTGCTGGCTGCAGGCCGGATGCGTCACATGGAAGCTGACCTACCTCATTGCCGGCAATGGCAAAACTGTCCCAATACGTTGCCCGACGTCACATGACGTCGTGAGTTTAACATGTCTGATCTATAGGGACATCTACCCCATCAGATGAGGGGCACACTCCCAGTCCTGTCTCTTAAATATTGCCATCTGAGGGGAGCTAGGAAGCCATGTGTTTCTATGGCAGCCTCGGCCTGATGGAACCCTCTGCCCCCTGAGATTCAGCAGGCTTCCGTAAGGCTTTGAAGAACTGGCTTTCCCCCCAAGCATTAGGAGAAAACTAGATAACTGCAAGTAGAATTTTGATTTGGTGCCAGGTTTTTGTGGTTTTTAATTTTTTTAATTGGCTTGGTTGTATAGTTTGAATATGAGATTTTAAACATGTTTGAATGTTAACTGGGAGCTGCTCAGAGTTGGTTGCAAATGGATAGCTATGTACATGTTTTAAATAAGTAAATATGTAAATCACCTCAGCCAAACGCAGGTTCTCAGAATTTACTCGCACACTATGGGATACGGAGTCTAGCACTTCCATGGCAGTAGAATTCTCCTTGCTGATGCTCACTAAGAACTATTGGGAGAGAGCACATATTAGGCACATCAGTATATGCAGCCATGCTAGCGGTTTCCCCAGTTCCACTACCCACACCTTATTTTTTAAGGTGGTAATGTTGTAACACCACAACCCTTAGTCTGTTTCGTCGCTGCCATTCGAATCACCTCTGACAGCTACCATTCCAAGAACCAAAGAGTCTTTTTCGTATGAAATGCCCTTACAGTACTCCAGGCCTACTGAAAGCAAAGTTGAGTGGCGTTTACAGCACGACACAGCTCATTTTTGCTTTCTGTGTTATTGTGGGGAATACAGCACAGATGGAAGGAGACACGATATGGCAGTGGTAGTGAACCTATGGCACGGGTGCCACAGGCGGCACTCGGAGCCCTCTCTGTGGGCACACGTGCCGTTGCCCCAGCCTTGCCTCGCCCCACGACCCCCTCCTCTCCAGCAGCCCCCCTGAAGGAGAGTCGCTCTCGAGCGTGGCTCACATGGAGCAATACAGCCAAGGACATGGCAGCCAGGCAGTGTAGACAAGACTCTGCTCTCACACCTCATCATGCAATGCATGCTGCAGGGCGCGGGCAGAGGGTGTGGCCGCCATAGCGGGCCCTGGAGGCGGCGAGTGGTCCTGTGGGTAGGCGGGGCAGGGGCGGGGCCGGTTTTGGGGCACTTGGTCTCTAAAAGGTTCGCCATCACTGTGATATGGGAAGAACTTGGGAAGACACACTGCATCTTAGCCTTTCTGGTGGCCTTTCCTTCTTTGTCTTTTCTTGCCTGCTATACCTACTTTCATCCCTTAGCAGTGACAGTAACAGGTAGCTAGGAATTTGGTTTTCCATTCTAGTGACACTTCATTAGCTGCACTGGCTATAATCATGGTGCCAACGGCAGACTTTTCCCAAAGTTTCTCTTCACCAACACATCCTTCCCCTAAATTGCTATTTCTTTGTTTTGGGATGATTTCTTTGCAGTTACCACAACTCATGCTGGTTTTCTGGGTACTTGCTGAGGACACAACTTTCTCCACAACTGGTATGGTGCCTGCTTTTGCTGTAGCTGTGTTCATACAACCCACTGCCTGTTTATTATTTCCCTTATATCTTGAAGCTTCGTCCTCAATTGTTTTTATTATAATTTATTAATTTTTACAAAACCTAATCTAAGACAATACAAGAGTGAATAAAAAAAGGGGTGGGAGAAAAAAAATAGAAAGGATATTCATAAGCATCTTACCTTTGGGGCAAAATTTAAAAATAGTTATAATTTATAGTTACCTATTTAAAACGTGTCAATTCAGTTTAAGCCAGTATAAAAAGTAGGTTAATATACAATAACTAATAACTAGCTAGTATTACTCAGTTATAAGCTGAGATTCAAACGTAACAATAATTTCTGCCTAATCTGGAAAATATGGCAAGTTTTAATAAAGCATTAAAAATTGAGAATTCAAATTTTATTGGGGGAAAAAAAACAAACTTTGACTGTGATGCCAAGTCACCTATAAGATTGTAATCCAAAAATAGTTTCCACAATTTATTAAATTCTTTATCAGAATTTTGTATATATAAAATTTGTTATGACATAATTTTGCTATATCATAATTAGCTATTCCTTACTGGAAGAGTTTGTTCATAATTTCCAGTGAGAAACATAAAGAATCCCATTACTATGTTCAAATCTAATTTTATTTGCAGGAACATAAGGTTTAATAATATTTTATAAGAAAATAGTAGGATGGAAAGAGAAAGCCATCTTGAAAATGTGTTTCTTTCCAATATAAATTGTTTTCTAATATTTTGGGACTTTACAATATGAAAAAATTATCTTATTTGATTATTTAACTACCTAATTTCACAATCAATACCCAGGTAATACTCCACTGAAAGAACATCTTGCAGCAATTTCCTCCAAGTGTAAGATTAATCATAAATGTGACATTTTTTTCAATCGCTGGTATTCTCATTTTTTGCATTTCAATTCTCTAGGGACAGAGACATGCCAAAGTCACCTGTTTTTATGTTGGCTTCTGGCTTAATTTTTAAGAGGTTAGGTGTTTAATTAGGTATGACAGAAAAAGATCTGGGAGGAAGATCCCTGTATTAAAGCAGCTCTTTTTTTTCTTACTGTTAATTCCCCTGCCACCGCACCCTTGCTTTCTAAGTCACGGAGACATATTTAGCTTAAATGTATAGAACTACCACTACTGAGGGGGCGCAATGGCTCAGCGCCTAAGATGTTGAACTTGTCAGTTGGAAAGTTCTCAGCCTGGTTTCAAGACCTGAGCGCCATGTGATGGGATGAGCTCCCGTTACTTGGCCGAGCTCCTGCCCATCTAGCAGTTTGAAAGCATGCAAATGCGAGTAGATAAATAGGTATTATTTCTGTGGGAAGGAAACAGTATTCAATGCACGTAAAGTCACACTGGACACATGACCATGGAAGTGTCTCCGGACAATGCTGGCGCCTTTGGTTAGGAAACGGAGCTGAGCACTGCCTCCTAGAATCAGACACGACAATCCTTTACATTTACCATTATTAAATCTAGTTCTTTACCACTACTAAATCTGGTGGGATTTTTCTATTGAAAAAACTCCCTGGACATTTCAGAACTAAAGGATACCCTGAGGATCAACACTAATCCAATTTGAAGGATAAAAGATAAAAAGCTATTCCGGCTATATATATATATTCTCACCTTAACAGGTTTATTATGGGGTTCCTTTGCAAAGTAGTAGACCGTCAGCACTTTCTGCTTCTGGGGTAGGGGGACTGGTAAATACAGGAAGGGATCAAAAGTGATGGATACCTGCAATAGAAAAAACCCCTGAGCAATAAAAACCTTTACTGGGCATAAAATAATGTGCATCGGGAGCACTAGCAAATCTCACAGAAACAATTATTCTGGGCTTAAAGGACACTATTCAGAAGAAGGAAATAGTCTAGCAAAATGTTAATAAGAACAAAACAGCAGACCGAACAATGACATGGGAAAGGAAAACAAAGGCCAAGATTATGCAGAATTGTTATAAAATCAGCCTGGTTACTAACTGCATGAGCAGAACCCACCTCTGCTCCTCCCACAGCAACTAGTGAAAAATACATCCAAATAACACTCCAATCAGAAGGGAAAAGTATCCACAAAATCATACCTTAGAGCATACAGGGCACACCAGCTTGGATTTGAACTGGCCTTGGAACAGGTCGACAATGAAAGAGTCATTCCTCATTTTGTGCCGCTGCCAGGCCTCTTCTGCAACAACCTAGCAGTGAATATCATAAAAGCCAGGATGAGAAACTATCTTGCCAGTTCAGAACCTTCTGTGCTCCTTCTAAGCACATTCAGCAATACTGCAACAAGCATTCACCTCATCTGGCCGTCCATCTGAGTCTACCGTTTCTGTGTAGGGTTTGTTCTGGATCCGGTTCAAATCCTCGTGGAGTCCATCCAGCAGAAAAGCCATGAACTCCTGGGCATCATGTTGGGCATAGCCTGTAAACTGGCTGGCCTTGCTGGCTACAATTGCCTGCAGAAAGATTTGGATTCATAAACAGCCAATTGTTTCTATGGGATTTGCCAGCAGGATCATATCCTTCTCTTCCCTAAGATGGCTAAATCAGAAGTCCATGAGAGGCGTTAAGTTAGAGGAACTTGGATTAAATGGTAATTGTGAGCCATATTTGATTCCTCCAGTCACTTTTTTTTCAGTTCCTGGAATCTACACCCTCCCAACTTGCATCGTGACACTAAAATTCATCTGCAGAACACAAACACACAAAGGCCCAGCTTGTGTTTTCGAAGGACACGCATGGAAAACATGTGGACCTCAAATTTCTACAAGGCTTAATGCATCTGTTTCCTTTAAACTGTCCAAACTCCTGTGATAACAATTCACTATTATAAAGGCTGCAGTATGTGAAAAACACTAGAAGTACTTTGGAAGTAAGTAAGCCAAGTGTTCCTCTGAATCCACTAGTTGAGGTGTCAAGATGTTGCAACTTCTCAGGGGTCATCCTTGTCATTTCCCCCACCCGAGCACTCTATACATGGACAGAAGACATTTCTGTCAGGAATGCTTCCTAAATGGACCCACTTCGAGATTTTGGGAGAGACTTTCCTTCTGAATCCTCCCTTTCAGTGATCAGAACAGCGCTAACAGATAGGGAAGAAAAGAAATTAAAGCAAGTGGGAATGGATTTAAACTGCTTTTGTTCCCAGATTTTGTTTAGTCCCAGAATAAAGTCCAACTCAAGGTATCTAGAGCAGCCTTAAGCTTCTTGTTACATCCCAGAAGGCGAAATAAATGGACTTAGGGAATACCACACAATCGGTGTGCGCTTGCACAGCAGGCCTTACCTTCAGCTTGGAAGGCTGGAAGGCATGGTGTGTACCTTTCCAGAGTGCCCGCAACAGCACCGCAAAGCCAATGGCCAGGCGCCCCCCTGTTCCCAGTGGATTACTGTAATTAATTTCAGACTCGAAGGAGCGATCTAGGAGGCACATACAAGAGAAAGGGGTGAGCATCGGGGCACTTTCTCAAGGTCACCATCCTGAAAGATAAAAGATGAAGACTAACCAGAATATATACAGATACCCCCCTCTCCCTCCCTAAGTTGAGATGCGTCTTACCATGAAAGTAGTCCCGCAACTCTCGGGTGTTGGAGAGAGACTGGATAACACTGTTCATAAAGCAGGTGTTACCCAGGTTCACCAGTCCTGTAAAGCCTGGTAGACACACCTTCTTATCCTCCTCTTCCTCCTCCTCTTCCACACTTTCGTTGCTGACAGGGCTGTGGGTTATTGGGGGGACCATACAGGTTGGCTTAGGCTGGGAAAAAAAAGGCTTTTAGCCGTCAAGGGAATAAGATTCTATTTTTTTGCCAAGTTCATTTCTAGACCTTGTATTCTTGGCTTGTATCGTCACCTTTTGTCCCAGGAAAAAGAGAGCCCTCTTTCACCCAAATGGGTCAAGCCCTCTTAGCCCATGAAAAACGAATTCACGCCAGGTAGTGTGTAAATGTTGTTGGTCACTCACATACAACAGGAGTGATATCTGCATACAAAGAAAATGGCTGCATCTGTCCCAAGTGCTGAAGTTGGGGATAATAAGAAGATGCCTCTCATTGTTTGCTTTTTAAAGAACCCAAATGCAAGGCCAGATGGAACCAGTTTTGTTATTGTCCATATATTCTGAGGCTACAGCAGTGGTTCTCCACCTGTGGGTCGGGACCCCATTTGTGGTCGAATGACCATTTCACGGAGGTCGCCAAACAACGCAGTCCGCCATTTTTTTCCCCTTTTCCTTAGCTGTGCTACTCCCTTTTATTCTATTGGCTTTTGAAAGCCAATAGAATAGACTCTCTTGAATAGAGTCTAATTCTATTGGCTTTCAAAAGCCAATAGGAATTGTCCAGGCTGTCTCTGCCCTGCTGAGCCCGCCAAAAGTCCCATTCTGCAAACGGTGCTGCACCAGTTGAGTAGTTCTTGACTTACGACTGGTTGAGTAGTCCTCGACTTACGACCGGTTGGGGGTCGCGGCATTAAAAAGGTTGAGAACCACTGGGCTACACGATCCCTCCACACAGAATGAAATACAGAAGATGGTATTGTCCACCCCACCAAAGTAAGGCACGTCTAACAACACCACAGTGTTTTGCAATAGGGTCACACACACAATTCCAGTTAGTTGTTTTTCCCTGTTTTCCCAAAATGCTGACCATATAAATGGGCCCCTGTATTTCCTCCCACTCGCCCTCCAATAATTGGGAAATACGACACCCCAGTACTCCTCACAAGTTCTCACCGAGGGCAGAAGTGGCTCCTGTTTCACAGGCATGTGGTCTGATACTGTCCGAGCTGCTACGCTATCCAGGCCACTGTCTTCTGCTCGTGGCTTTTCCTTCTCACCTGCTCGGGCCTCTTCTTTAGTGGACAAAGGGTGCTGGTTACTCCCAGGTTGGCTTTTATCCAGAGGAGTAGGGCCGGTTGGCATGGCAACCTTTGCACCACCCACTGCACCTTAAAAATGGGGAAAAGTGGGCTTGTGGTTAGCAGCAGAAAGAACCAAGGGGAATTATGCTGCTCACCCCAGGCTTTCGTGATATGGAGTGCCACAGAACCAATCCTTTTCCACAATGAAATGCATGCCAAACATGATGGGGCGAAGAAAGTGCTCTGAGATTGAACTAAGAAAAATCCCTGCCGACTCTAAAGCAGACGTGTCAAATTCGCGACGTCATGTGATGTCGTGAGATATATCGGGACAGTTTTGCCATTGCCGGCAATGGGGTGGGTGTGGTTTCCAGATGACGCGTCTAACCCACAGGCCAGCAGTTTGACACCCCTGCTCTAAAGTGTCAAGGTTCTTTCTCAGGTCCAATCTATAGCTGGCCATACAACGGAAACAACCCATATGGTTCTTCTCAGGGACTCCTGATTTTAATATCCTCAGCCTTAAAGATCTCTCACTCCCGAGCGATGTGTAAAGGAATTCCTACAGGGCAAGTTTTAAAAAATCCAGGTGCAGACCTCGTGTGGCAGGAGCCTCCAGGCCCCCCCAGCGTTGGCTGTGTCGTTTCTTCAAACAGATGTTAATCCGGGCTGCAGTGAAATTGTATGTACATTGATCTGGCTCTATAAGGTTCCTGCAAGGCAATTCAACAAGGGAAGCAATGAGAACATCAGACACAACTGAACAGAACAAAGAACGTACAGCTGCCCTACGTGGCCAATAAATCCAATAAACAAACAAACAAACTTCTGCATTATGGAAGAAAGGATGTCAGGATTGCTGTACTTATTTCTTTATGTAGATGAGAAGCACCTTGTTTAACAGGAATAGATGCTAGAGATCTCTGGGCTGTGCGCAGTTATACATTTTCGACCAACTGAGTTTAGATTTTTTTTTAATACCGTTATTAAATTTTAAGACAAAAAAAAAAAAAAATAAAAACTACCAAGAACTAATATTCAATAAAAAGAGCAGAAGAGAGGACAGAGGTATAATAAAGTAAACAATAAATAAAAATACAAAAAAAAATGACAATGACTTGTTTTACAGCAAATGTAAATGAAAGATTGAGCTCTTAATTTATGGTTACAACACAGCATCAATTTTTGTAATCCATTAATATTAGTAATTGTTAAATCCATATATAATCAGATGATGTTCTTCCATTTTGTGCAAAAAATCCACAAGGGGCTTCCAGTTAGCATTAAAGTTAATTGATGCCTTTTCTCTAAGCAAGGCTTTCAATTTCGACAGCTGATCTGAGTTTAATCCAACTGAGTTTAGATTAATAATATTGCTTCCTGAAGAATCAGAACAATAAAAATCAAGCTTGGATGAATCAATAGAGGTTAGCTGGGTTAGTAATCAAAGGCTGGTGCTTGTGTCACAGAATGGAGAAGGCGATAGGGACCATTTATGAAGCAGCCAGAATATATTATGACGGTCCCTAGAATATATTTGCAAAAGAAAATAACAACTAGTCAAGCAAAAATAATTCAAATCTTTGATACCTGAGTTTGACTTGCCACCTGAATACTGACTGAGCGCTGCAGCCTTGGTGAAGTCGAAGGAAGTTGACATCACTGCAAAAAGTGGCATAAATTATGTATTTTGCATTCTTTCCCTGCCCAGTAACAATTCCAGTTAACTTCTGGCTGCAGTAAGAGGAGGGATGGGTCTGTCACCAGTAATCGCCATACCTTGTTTGGAACATGAGGGTAAAATCTTGCTCCCGAAAGTGTACACTGGACATCTCCCTGTGAATCTCCTTTACGTAAACATGTACTACCATAGAATCGTTTCCTTTCTCATAGGAGTCATTCTTCACAAAGGTCAGATTCACAGTGGGCTCTGGTTCTAGCAAGAAAAAGATAAAGCAATAATGATAACGGAACTCTCTTATAGAGAAATTTCCAGAGAAATCACCTTGTGATTCAAATTTATATGTGTGGTTGTGTCTGGGGATAGGCTGTGGAAGAAAGAAGTGGTTAAAATGCTGGCCAAGTTTGGAAAACACTGCATCGAAAGCTAAATTTTGCATAAATTATGATAAAATGATATAACATGATTCTGACAGATGTGTTCCAAGAACTATGCAAAGCACTGAACCAAATTCTCCCTTCCTTCCAGCATAGACAATTGTTAAGTCCACAGGTTAGCAACACGGCACCTGCAGATGCTGACCCTCTAGACTCCCACAAAGCAATTCTAATTCTCCAAATCAACACTAAATCAATTATTTAAAAATCAGTTTTTAAAAATGGCTGAAATCTTGCAAAGACTGTATTTTGAGCATCCTTGGCTTAGCCCCCTTTCTACTACAGCTTCTGTAACTCCACTCGGTACCATAAACCTTCTAGTGCAGTGGTTCTCAACCTGTGGGTCGGGCCCCATTTGGGGTTGAATGACCATTTCACCGGGGTCGCCAAATAACGCAGTCTGCCATTTTCCCCCCCTTTTCCTTAGCTGTGCTACTCCCTTTTATTCTATTGGCTTTTGAAAGCCAATAGAACAGACTCTCTTGAATAGAGTCTAATTCTACTGGCTTTCAAAAGCCAATAGGAATTGTCCAGGCTGTCTCTGCCCTGCTGAGCCCGCCAAAAGTCCCATTCCGCAAACGATGCTGCACCAGTTGAGTAGTCCTTGACTTACGACCGGTTGAGTAGTCCTCGACATACGACCGGTTGGGGGGGGGGTTGCGGCATTAAAAAGGTTGAGAACCACTGTTCTAGTGAGTCATATACTTGGTACATCATGTACTATCTCCTCCTCTAATAGGCAACGTCTCCTCTCCTCTCCCTCTCTAAAAACAGAAAGCATCTCTCTTTATTGGTTGGTTGCTCAAGTATTTTAAAACCAAAGTTTAGGGACACAGGAAGTGGTTTAATTTAACAGGGTTCATACACTGCACATTTTACTTCCACAGTTTGTTGAGTAAATCACAATTACCTGAATTCATGTAAGAGAAACTTAAATAAATCACATTTATATCTTAACACAATGGCTGAATCCAGACAACACAGAGAACTTATTCTACTGACTAGTAGCAGAAAGTCTCAGAAAGGCAACTTTCTCAGGTTACTGGTGATATCAGTCATTACTGGAATCTGAAATTTTTACACAAAACCGTGTAAACAGCTCTCTAGTTCCCATTTAACAGCTCACAATTATTCCTGTTTTTCAGAATGCAGGTCTATCTAGTTGTCTGGGCCCAGAGCTGACATCCATTGAAGCCACTAACTCAGTTAAACAAAGCTGGGCAATCATGGTGTACCTACAGAAACATTCAGGATCTCACTCTTTACTCACCAATACTAACGGCCTCTAAAGCGTCACTGTCCTTGGACCAGACTCTCGTTTCAGGATCTCTGGGTTGCAAAGAGGAGGGGAGGCCCTCCCTGAAGGCAGGTGCAGGGTCTCCCCCCTGAGAGGCTTCAAAGGAACTGGTTGGTTGAGGGAGTCTCTTCTCTGGAGAGGGGCCAAGCTGACTGGGCAAGGCATCTGGAGGAAGGGCCACAGGCTGCTGCATTTCCATGCATCCCGATTCCCTCTCCTGAACCTCAATCTGGTAATGTAGGGAGAAATCCACAATCAGATGTAGAAGTAGGACAGAATATTTTAACTGAAATATGTCAACAGATTCTAAGGCACGCATGACTCATTAGAAAATATTGCTAATCGCAGAGAACTGAAATAACCTTTAATTGGAATAAGCATGATGAGGCCCCCAGTCACTGTTTCACCAATAAATGCCTCCACTTGTACCACCAAATTTCCTACTAATTGTCTTTATCTCTGACCTCCTTTTGAACTATCTTATTTTTAACTATTGTTTAGGGCAGGGGTAGGCAACCTTGGCTCTTTTATGATTCATGGACCAACTCCCAGAATTCCTGAGCCAGCCATGCTGAGGGGAAAGGGAGAGGTTTCCAAGCTAAGCCATGCTGGCTCAGGAATTCTGGGAGTTGAAGTCCACAAGTCATAAAAAGGCCAAGGTTGCCTACCCCTGATTTAGAGCATTAGTTCTCTTTTACTTATAAGAGTTTGCTCCAGTAGGAAAATGATTTCTGACAAGCAGAAAATGATAGAATTAAAGGAATGGTACCTATTCCTGCCTTATGTTCAGATCCCTGGGCAAGTTATTTATCATCGTTTTGCTTTTTGGGACTGGTTGGGCCCATGGAAGCAGTAATCTAGGAATACGTCTCTCCAATCAACAGCTATATTGTACCAGCACCCATATGTTTTCAAAACCCCAAACATGCCTACTGGCTACAAAATATCAGACAAAAGGTGGTGTGGTAGTGGCAAGGATGCTTTTTTTTTGGTGGTGGTGGTGGAGCGCAAAAGCTGCATTTAACCTTTGAATGATAATGCTAAGGACTGGTGAGGAAAAGTCAGACCAAAAATTAAATTAAATTTATAATTTCATTTACATATATGTAATATGATTACTCTCTGTATATTTAATAACATTTCTTTCTTTCTTTCTTTCTTTCTTTCTTTCTTTTTTTCTTTCTTTCTTTCTTTGGGAGATCGGCAGCTAAGAAATTGAAATATAAATACACACATACACAAACACACACACACAAATAAATAAATCTCTTACCATTAGCTGAAAACACTGGCGAGATTATAGATGAGAGATGTCAGGAACTATCACTACTGGAAAGCCCCCCTCCCAAACAAAATCCTACCCTCCCTCTACCCCCATCCTGGAAGAAAGTAATTGTAAACCTCTTCAATACTGTTGCCAGGTTCTGTGACATCAGCAAGAGTCAGGCATAACTCCAGAGACACTTCACCTGGTATCACCCCTGAACATTGCAAATCAACAGCAATTTCTAAATGGATCCTAGAAGTCGCACCCAATGTTTTGAGATGACATGTAGAGGCTTCAGTTGTTCATCCAGGGAATTAAAGTCAAATACCCAGGAATATTTTTTTTTATATTTGTCTGATTTGTTTTCCTTTGATGGAACTATAAAAACCATATCTACTACTACTCTCTTAAGCAGAGCTGTAGAATAGTAAAGATTATATAAAGCCTATCCTAATAAGCAGGGATGATAAAACTTCCCAGAGCAATTTAAAATGTTGAAGCAAGGAAGCCAGCTTGAAATTTTCTTCAAGATTAAATAGAAAATCCGGGCTACAGTAATTTCCAGTCTATATTCTTCCAATGTAAAAAGAAGTCTTGTTGGCAGAGGAGCTATGAAACGTGCCAATAGCCCAGCAGTATTTCTCAAAGTTAAGCAATAATAACAACCTAAACCCACTGTGAGATGTTGGTTTGCAGGTTTAATACGTATCCCAATTTTTCCCTGCTAGAGGAAGCCGTTTCCTCTGACATCAGGTATTCTGGATGTCTCTTTTGATGTATGGGAAAGGTCAAGGATAAACTTTTGATCTCAACCTTGAGTCAAAAGACAGTATAACTCCCCCCCCCCTTGTTTCTTACCTTTAGGTCCAACTGGGCAGCCCCCTCAGCAACCCGATCAGTCCTTTGACTGTCAATTTCTCCAGATAGCCCAGCGTTCCCCATGCTTCTGCTGTTCCTTTCCTCCTCAGACAAGCTGGCTTTGATACACGCTGCCTTGGTACCAGATCCAGTTGGCAGTCCTGGGTGGATAGGGTTCCTCCCTCCTACAGTGTCATTTTTCCCCAAAATTCGCTTTGGGTTAGAAGGGTCTCGTTTGCTTTTGATTAGCTCCACAGTACTGTCAAGTTGGGGTTCTTCAGAAATTTCCCCAGCAGAAAGGGCCTTCTCTTTGCCATTCTCCTTACATGCCATTCTCTTTGGATGTTCTCTTGAACTGTCTTTGTAGCGTTTCTGCGGGGGAAAATGGGCATTCAATCAAATCCAAGACAAATATGGTGAATAAGCAACACGTTCCTATCAGGCTAAGTTCATCACGCTTGTAAGAAACATATAAATGCCAGCTAAGCAGAGAATGGCTATAGAGACCACTGAACCTGAAAGCAAGTGATGGATCTCTAGAGCAGTGTTTCGCAACCTTGACAATTTTAAGGCGTGTGGACTTCAACTCCCAGAATTCCACAGCCAGCAATGCTGGCTGTGGAATTCTGGGAGTTGAAGTCCACACGCCTTAAAATTGTCAAGGTTGAGAAACACTGCTCTAGAGGGAGAAGATGGCCAAGGGGGCGTTTTGACTCAATCTTGCTACAGTTCAAGGTCTCAGGAAAGCATGAAGAAAATATCACAAATGGGACAAAGCTTACCGAAAGCGAAGCCCAGTTGTGCAAAGGGATCTTCTTTGGCAGCACCAACTGCAAGATATTGCTTTTCTTGAACTGGACTTTGGTGCAGGAACTTTCTATCTCCTCATAAAATTCACAGCTCCACTGACGGCCATCTAAGGGAAGAGACAGGGCATAAGATTCTTCTTTGGTGGTTAAGGAATAAGGAACACGTACCACAGCACTGCACCACTGCAGGGCAAGACAGCAATTGGCTAGCTGACCTGATGAGATGCTGTACGAAATCACACTTATTCTGAAATAAATAGGATGGTGCCTTGCTCTCCTTGTGAAATACAAGCTTTAAAACCTTTCTCCATTGCATCATTTTGCATTAGAAAAGAACCTCTACATAGACACTTCCCTGCTATATTATGGCAAACACCATTTATTTATATTGTAAGAGAGTGAGAGGTTAACTGGAACTTCGGAAGAACAGTAACAATTGAGCCAAGTAACTTTTGTTCCTTGGAACATTGACAAATTGTTACTTTCTGTGTGCTGAATATGTTTTAATGGCAAAAACAGTGAGCATATGAAGGCTTATTTTTTGTGTCTCAACAGCATACTGTTTTTAATGAATGAAAATCTAAGCTTCACAGGAGCCTGCTAAACTGCTAGATAACATAAAGAAGCTGTGTTTTGTTCTTCAAATCGTGAACGATCATAATTTTCTAGAATGCTTGATGATTACTACATCTCAACTTCTTCCAGAGACTTTAGAATGTCTGATCTTTATTTGCTATGATTTGTTTTTTTTTTAAAAAAGGTGTTGTTTAAGGATTCAGCTATGAAACAGCAGCTAAAAAGACTAAAATACTTTGTTATGTCTCCTAAGATTTTAATTTTACAGATACTTAAGAATAAGATGAGATACAATAAAGCCTTGATTTCTCATCACTCCAGTTTTTTTCTGCACCAAAATAGGATTTTTTTTTTAATTTGAGGTTTTCTTCTTTGACAAGCTGAGGATTGTTATTATCTTTTGAATCATGAGGAAAAAGACAAAGTAAATGGGCCCAAAATAAAAACTGCATTTAAATTAAATTACAGTTAATATAAACACTTTATCGTACTTCAGACACATTATACAAAGACCTATACAAAGAAATCTATAATGATGGGAAATAACAGTAGTGATGGGTGCATCATTAGAAGATCTGAAGTACCAGATTGGAACAGATTTTCCTGGAGAAAATCTATCTAGGTGGTTACTAAAAACCAATAGCAACCTGATGGCATATAATCACTCAACCCATATAAGTAATTTTCATTTCCCTCTTTTGTCACATTAAAAGTCACAAGTTGGCTGCAACTGCAGGTTTCAGAGAGCAGATGGAGCCCAAGGGCTTCGGGTTATATGCTGCTGTTCTAGTGAAATGGAAAATTCGTTCAATATCCCTGGCACATATATAGTGGTACCTCAGTATTCATCTTTAATTGGTTCCGGGAGGCATGATGAGCATCAAAAATGATAAGTGCCAAACAATTTTTTCTATAGGGAATAACAAAGTGAATCATAAGGCAACCGACATTGACAAGTTCTATCTTGTGCATTGAGTACCAAACAAATAATGAGTACTGGGACAAAAATTTACATCAAAATGCACTGAGTACCAAATTCGATGAGTTTCAAAGCAGTTGAGTACCAAGGTACCACTGTAGTGTGCAACAGTGATTCTAGGTACTCTCAATCCACTTTACAGAGCATTTTGTATAATAAAGAATATTTAGAAAAGTTGTAAAATCTCCTTTTCACAATTGTTTATTTTCCTTGACAGTATATTTCCTGCTTATTAACTCAGTTTTCATAACTCATTAATATCTAAAGTCATACACTGCAGGAAGAGCTAATCCGGGATAGGCAACCTTGGCTCTTTTATGACTCGTGGACTTCAACTCCCAGAATTCCTGAGCCAGCAAGGTTGCCTACCCCTGAGCTAGGGGATGGCCTTTCTATCTGTAGGAGAGTTGGGAGTCCCAAATTCTTTACATGACCCACATCAAGTGAGTTAAGCTGCTCTCCCATTTTGCCCTCTTTGGGAAAGGGTTTTTAAAATTTATTTATTGCTGCTGTTGATCAGAAATGAATTTTAAAAGTTACTTTTTTTAAAGGAGAAACTATTTCTTCTTTGCATGCTAATTAAGAACTCCATGAATAAGGAAGGAAAGTCTGCATTAATACCAGGTAACTTGATGACACAACTGGTGTCTGTGAAAGACGAATCCACTTCTTCCACTTTTGGGTTCCTGCTGCCCAAATTCAGTTTCACAATAACCTCATCAGCATTCTGCTTCCACTCCAGCTGCAGGTCTAGGGAACAGACAAATATCAATTTCTCATCTGTGAGTGATAAGTGACAGCTAACTTCCCAAAAAGAGGGAAATGGAACACAAAACAGACTAGAGATAGTTAGTAACAGGGTACACAAGGTGCATTTGGATCAATAATGAATGCAGAAAAATCATTGCCATACAGAATGTTGTAATGGCAATTACATAAATATTGCAGAAAAAAGTAAAAGCCAATGTTCAATAACAGTATATTAATTAATTTATTGGAATTATTGCAACTCAATAGTCAAGTGACCCTTGTGAATCTTTGCAGCCCATCTCACAGAACAGCTATAAACTCACTAGATGTCTTTCCTAGTTTTATCTCATATATGACTGGATACTGGTCATGGTCATGCCTTTAGGCGGCTTTTCTAGGAATCACCGCAATAACAGCAAACACTCCCTCCTTTGTGCCAGAGCACATGATAGGTTTCTAGTCATATTGACTTTGCTTTTCCAGTCTCCAATGCCCTCCTAAGTGAAAAGGGCTGCTAGAGGTCAACACCAGACAGGACTGTGGGGTTATGGAAATCATGTAAGTGAAACACTTCAAACTCTGACACAAAATACTAAATATTTACTTAGCCATTGGCTCAAATCATGTGAAGATGGAATCTGTCAAGAAAATGTGGCATCCTGATTCAATCACACCCAAATTTTGATTTTGAAAAAGACAGAGATCCCCTCAATAATATCCCATAGGAAATAATTAATGGTTGAGAAAGCAGAATATTCAGGTTCTTTTGTGCATTCGTGTCCCCCTTGCCCTTAGCTGGTCTTAGAACAGTGGTTCTCAACCTTTCTAATGCCGCGACCCCATAATACAGTTCCCCATGTTGTAGTGACCCCCAACCACTTCTACATCACCGGGTGCCAGGGGCATGGCCAAAGAAAAGGGGGGGAAAATGGCGGACAGCCTTGTTTGGCGACCCCCGTGAAATGGCCGTTCGACCCCAAATGGGGTCCCGACCCACAGGTTGAGAACCATTGTCTTAGAACATGCTTTCCATAGCTTATGAGAACCAGTAATAGCAACATCCCCATCTTAATCAAGCAGGAACAAATTTTATTTTTGTGACTACAAATCCCCATTTCTTTTTCATGCATCTTTTAGAGCAGTGGTTCTCAACCTTTTTAATGCCGTGATCCCCAACTGGTTGTAAATTGAGGACTACTCAACCGGTCATAAGTTGAGGACTACTCAACTGGTGCAGCACCGTTTGCAGAATGGGACTTTTGGCGGGCTCAGCAGGGCAGAGACAGCCTGGACAATTCCTATTGGCTTTTGAAAGCCAATAGAATTAGACTCTATTCAAGAGAGTCTATTCTATTGGCTTTCAAAAGCCAATAGAATAAAAGGGAGTAGCACAGCTAAGGAAAAGGGGGAAAAAATGGCGGACTGCGTTGTTTGGCGACCCCCGTGAAATGGTCGTTCGACCCCAAATGGGGTCCCGACCCACAGGTTGAGAACCACTGTTTTAGAGCTTGCCAGCCTATTAATCTTTTAGAGCAGGGGTCCCCAACCCCTGGTCCGTGGACAGGTACCGGGCTGCAACATGCCAATAATTGGTCTGCATAAACAAGCAAAGCCCCATCCATGGGATGCAAGCAGCACACAAAACCATGCACACTCCGGTCCGTGGAAAAACCTTTCTCCACGGAACCAGTCCCTGGTGCCCAAATGGTTGGGGACCTCTGTTCTAGAGTTTGTTAGGGAATTAATACTTATGTCAGAGAAATAAAGCAACATTAAGACAATACATGAAAACAAAGTAGGTGGCTTGAGTTTCATTTAGTTATGCATTCTTCTGACTTACCCTCCACAGACTCTCTGTGCCAAAGGGGCTCTACCAGATTCAGGCTAGCAAAAGGCTCTGGTGATCAAACAAATACAGAGATGTGCTGTTTTGCTACGAACCATGCGAACAAAGGATTTTCTGCTTCTGAAATAGGGCATTCGTACATTACAATTTATATTTTAACCAGAATACTTTCCTAGAACTATCCATTGCTGCCTGAATGAGGGACATACACCAATCAAAAGGGAGGTAAAGAAAGCAACTCAGAGAAAAATTTAACAAGCCAGACAAGTGTTAAAACAGGGGTGAGGACTCTGTGGTCTTCCCATTTGTTGTGGACTGAAGTTATCATCAGTCCCAGGGATACAAGTAGTCCTTGACTTAACAACCGATCAAGCTACCTAAACCTGGTTTTGAAGTTCTGACATTCACCCTCCTCATTGTCATGCATTTGCAGCTGATGCAGTGTCTCGCAGTCATGTGACCGTGTTTAACAGCAATTTTGCTGAAAACCAGAAGTCATTTCTGGTTTTTGGCAAAACCGCAGCATAGTAAACTATGAGTTTGTCATCACGTTCATTTAACGACTGCTGCAAAAAAGCTTGCAAAATTTACTACCTTCGTGACATATGACTGTAATGGGCAGACTCCATTACAGGCATATGTTGAGGACTACTTGTACAGTTAATGAGGAGTGATGCTACCGGTAGGAGTTTTAATCCAGCCTTGTGTGGAAAGCCACATCTCTGCCTTAAGGAATTTTCACGTTCACTGGTTAGCTGACCTACAGCAACAAATGTTAGGTTTCATGTCACATTATAAAATCAACACCTTGACAGAATAATTTAGCATCACCTCCCTCTTAATCACTGCCCAGTTACAACGAATGCACGAAAAGTGTCTGCACCATGATAAAAAGATACTTTGAAACATGTCTCGCTGGGTGGCTGATACAAGCATTATGGAGATCATAGAGCAGGTCTGGTTAGCAGGGCTGCAGTTTGTACCAGTAACTCTTGCTTCCTCTGCAATTATTCCACCATCCTGCTAAAAGTTGCAGTCTCATAAAGAGCACAGGCAGTGCAGAGCTAGTACAATCACTCACCTGTTTCTTTTATCACATAGCTGTGAAGGAAGGCCACAAAGAGCAAAGTGGATGACTGTACATTTAGTCTACCTAATATATTCTTCCATACTTGCAATGTTTATAAATAACAATATTCTATTCATAAGAGTAAAGCTTTCTTCCTCACAATGGTTGCATCAACTTAACAGGAATCCAACTTTCATTTTAAAACATTTATCAAGTCTATGAGTATAAAATTAAAAAGGTAAACTTTCCACCACGATTCTAATCATCCTGGACTGGATTTCTCTTCATCTTTCTGCAAACTCCAGATCCAATTCCTTAGCAATACACACTATCCTGCACAAGGTCCTCATACATCCTAAACGTATACTTTTTGCCTACTTGAGTATCAATAACATTTTTCCCAAGGCCACAGTGATAGTTTGTACACACCTTACTAAGCCATGTTTGTCAATCATGATTAGTGAATAAATTACAATTAGCTGGTTTTATACATTATACAGGGAAAAAAATAAAAATATATTATGGCTTTCACTTGTACAGCTGCAATCCCTGAAATCTTATTTTCTCTCTCACAACCTTTTGCCACATTGTTCTTATCCTATTTCACTGTCCGCTCTGTATTTCCAGGATTAAAATCTATTTCCCATTTAGCAGCGGAAGGGAAGCAGCAGAAAAAATATCACAGAGCTGTGAGCTGCAGACACCAAAGCCAATCTGTAATCTTATTTGATGGACTTTCTCCACATTAGCTTTACTAGATAACGCAGAGTTCTAACACTGATTCAGAAGAAACATTTGTGAACCCATTTTCCATACTACAGATGACTATTTATAGCTCTATATTTGTCCTTACTGACCTTCTTTCTAAACTAAAAATCTCCAACTGCCATAAAATTTCTTTTATGCAGAAAAAAGTATTGTCAAAATCTACCAAGCTCAAAGCAAACTACTCTTGTGGCTAAATGCCCACCTATTCATTCACAATAAGAGCCAAGATCCTGTGGAGCAGAGAATCCTCTGTATCTGCTGCATGTTTTCTGAATGTCTGTAGTGCACCAGGAAATGAAATCCATTAGATTCTACTTATTTTGATGCAAAATAAAAAATAACTGTTTGATGCCTGCTAACCTTGCCTGTTTCTTATCCAAAATTGCTCTAAATTGTGCACTTCCCTATGTAGTATCCAATGCCTTCCTTGGCAGATTTCCTGAATCTTGCTTTGTTTTGAAAAAAAAATTTAATTAAAATGAATAATTATGACGATAACATGCTATGACACTAGCTCAAGCAAAATGTCTATTTCCAATAATGCTTTGTGCTCTTAAAAATATTCTTATGAAATGGTGGTGTGGTGCACAGCTTTATTTGGTGTGGTGCACAGCTCCCTCACCACTGCCCAAAACAAAATGCAAAAACAAACCAAAATGGAAAAAAAAAACATTTATGTGTAGTAGGGAACAGCCTCACTGGCCTGCCTGCAAATCTTTCTTCCAAATTAACTTTCATAGGGAAGAGAGAATTTGTAGGGCTGTTGTTGTTTTTTTGATAAATATAGCATCCAACTTTACTTTTTTGAGAAAAGGAAACAACATGCTTAGATTTTTCATAATAACTGTGGCCTACTTCAGACCTTGTGCTAAGTCAGGATTTTTTTACCAGTTCATTAAGAAACTGAAAACAGTCTGGTCTGCAAGTGTGAAATCATAATAGGTGGCTCATATGTCACACTAAGATAAAATACATAAATTCCATTGCAACTTTGTTTTATACATGTGCAAAAGTAATAGTGATATCCAAGGAATGAAAAGGAAAACTATTCTTCCCAGCCCTAATCACTAGGTACTCTTGTATTTTCTGAGCCATTGCCTCTATATGATCAATACCAGCAAACAGCCCTCCCTCCTTCCTTTTTGGCCACCCATCTCATGCAATGGGACTCTGGGTGGCATACAAAAGAACCATAAAAACAATTTTTTAAAAAATAATTATTGCAAAAGGCTAAGACAGAGCATCAGATTATAAAGAATAGGGCCATCTAATCAAATGACCATTCCCATGCAATCCCCGGGACTGTTGATGCAATCAAGTTTTAAGGGATTTCCGGAAGGCCGACAGACGGGGCTAATATCACCTTAGGGGAGATGATATTCCACAGGGCTATGCCACGGCAGGAAAGGCTCATCTGCTGGGTCCTGTCAGATGTAATTCCTTCACAGGCAGGACCCACAACACATCTGTTCTGCTGAAGCGGGTGGGGTGGCCAGATGTAACCAGGAAGAAGTGTTCCTCAAATAACCCGGCCCCATGTCATGAGGGGCTTTAAAAATCAAAACCAGAACCCTCAATTGACCCAGAAGCAAACTGGTGACCAATGTAGGTCGCAAAACAAAGATGTAACATGTGCTGCTCTAGGGACGTACATAACTGCTTGCACCACTGCATTTTGCGGAAACTTCTGAATACTCTTCAAAGACAGCCTTACGTACAACCTATTACAGTAGTCCATCCAGGAAGTTGCCTTGAGCAGAGCTTCCTGATCCATAATTGAGTGCAACTACCACATGCTTTTTGAGCAGGAGTCCTGAGTTCAGGAGGACCCCCAAAATGCACCCCGGGTCTGTATGGGGCAGTGCAACCCATCCAATACCAAAATGGCAGAGTCTCAGAACCTTAACTCAAAACCAGAGCCACTCAGTCTTGCCAGGATTTAGTTAAATCTTGTTGTTCCCTCACTGAAGAAATGGCAATAAGACATCAACAGCAACCCAAAGGTGTTTTTTTTCAAAAGGCAACTGGACTTTGTTTTTTTCCATGAAGATATTTTGCTTCTCATCCAAGAAGCTTCTTCGGTTCTTGGATGAGAAGTGAAATGTCTTTAAAGAAAAAACAGTGGCCTCTGAGACAGCCATGATCTAGATGATTGAGAATCTCCATAGACAACAGCAACGCTTAATTTGCCAAGGGCAGACATATAACTGTATTTCCTCAGCATACTGATGATGCTTCAGACCATGGAGATGGATGAGCTTTCCCAGCAATTCCTTTAGATGTTGGAAAGGAGAGATCACCAAACCTTGTGGAACCCCACCCAGCAGAGCGGAGGGCAGGATCTTTCCTCCCCAATCACCACTAATATCAACCCCAGAGAAAGGAGAAGAACCAGTGCAATAGTGCACCACAATTCCCCATCCCTGGATCCAATCCAGGATATCATGGAAGTTTTTAAGAAGAGACTGGACAGCCATTTGTCCTGAGCAGGGGGTTGGATTAGATGACCTCCAAGGTCCCTTCCAACTTTACTACTATTATTATATCAAAGGCTTCTGAGAAGTCCAGAGTTAAGACGGATGCATTACCACCATCCTGCTCCTGCCAAAGGTCATCCAAAGATGTGACCAAGTCCATTTCCGTCCCTTATCCATCCCTCAATCCAGACTAAAAGGAGTCTGTTTCATTCTGCATTCTTTGAACATATTGTGTGATCATCTTTTCCAGCATCTTCCCTAAAAAGGGAAAGGTTTGATACTAGAAAAAAGTTGTCCAGCCTAGTGGGATCCAGGGGTAGCTTCTTGAAGAGGGGCAAACCAAGGCCTCCTTCAGAGGCAAAGAAACAAATCCCCCAACCAAGGAATTCGCTACCACTAGAACCCCCTGGCCTGGCATGATACGCCCAGGGCAGTTTTAATTAGTCAGGAGGGGCATGGGTCAAAAGAGCAGGTGGCCAAGCTCAATCATGATGACCCCATCTATTTTCTCAAGCTCGACAGCTCAATTGTTCTCAGATAAACAGGGCAAGAGTCTGCCTCAGATAATGTGATGACCCAGAGCCCCGAACGGAGGCAAAGCAATTAGCTGGTCAGAATAATTGTCTTTGTAAGCACTGCCAACGTTCACCCAACAGCCCCCACATATGCTGGCACAAGTTCAATAAAACAGTCAATGGAGTTAAACTGTTCTTTAAAGTAAGACAGATAACAAAGTATGATCTTTTCAATGCCCAGCTTGCCTGTGACCTGCAAACTGCAAAACTGAGGACAGCAAGGAGAACTCAGCAGGAAACACGCTTGATCCAAAATACAAAGAGTCCAGGTACAAGAGCTCACATCAAAAGAGCTCACGTTTGTTCCCGGCAAATGCCCCACCCCACAGCATCTTCTAAAATACCTACTCCCCAGGTGTGCCTTGTGGAGTGGGGCGTGACGCTCTCCTCCCGAGCAAGTGAGCCTGCCTCCGTTGTTCCCTCCTCCTCTCTGCTTTCCTTGCTCTGGGATCTGGTGGGGAGGGGCCTTGCTCCTTGCCTGAGCTTGGCCTTCCCTGTTCCAAACTTGAAGGGCCCTGGCCTGCTTCAGCCTGTTCCTCTCCACAGTCCTCCAAAGCCACAGACACCCCCTCCTGGGCCTCAACAGGGAACTCCATGTCGTCCTCAGAGTCAGGCTCGGATGGAGGCATGACAGATACTCCTTAGGTCAGTGATGGCGAACCTTATAGAGACTGAGTGCCCAAAAACCACCCTGCCCGTCCCCCCACACCCCGCCTGCACTCAGGGCCCCCCACTGCCTCCATGGGCCACCGCAGATCGCCCAGGCGGCCCACCAGCGCCATAGTGGCCACACCCTCCACCTGCGCCCTGCAGCGTCATCTGAGCATGACAGAGCGCGAGGGCAGAGTCTTGTCCCTGCTACCTGGTTGCCATGTCCTTGGCTGTGCTGCTCTGTGAGGGCTGCGCCCAGGGGCAACACCTCCAGGGGGCTACTGGTGAGGAGGGGGCCGCGGGGGGAGGCTGGGCTCGGGTGATGGCACGCATGTCCAGAGAGAGGGCTCTGAGTGCCGCCTCTGGCACGCGTGCCATAGGCTTGCCACCATTGCCCTAGGTGCTGCAACAAGAGCAATGTCCAACTGCAATGGAATTTGGATGATTTTATTTGACAGAAGCTGAGCAAATTCTTCTGCACGACCCTGCAAGGGGGTTTCTGAGCCCCCTCCATCCAAGAAACAGGCTTCCAGGATGCCTATCTGCAGATGCAATAAGAGCACAGATGTTTTATTACTTTGGTGCCCTTGCCATCACCAGGCAGGTCTTAATAATGGCTCTTATCCGTGTTGGGTCACACTTGTCCCTTGTTTTCCTGTGAACGACGGGATCCACAGGAGGAAAGAGGATGCGTAGGCATGATCCTATCTAAAGACTCAACAGCCCTCCAATTCCAAATAGCAAACAAGGCCTCAGATGCAGCATGTAGGAAACCTCTGAAACCCCTCAGGATCCATCAGTGCTGAGGGTGGTCTGATCTGCCTCCTTCAAGGCATATGTGACCATGACAAAGGGGGACACTAAGAGTTCCCCTATTCCAGATCATATTGCCATTGCTTGGACAGGAAATCAGACCACACCTGTGATAGGTTCTGGATGACCTGGGATAGGCCCATGGTTGTGATGGCAGTCACGAAGTCCTGAGCTACCTATGACCACAAGCTTAAAGAAGGTAGATCAAAGTCCCTAGAAATCTGGGGAACTAGCAACAATCTCAGCTGATTCCAAGAGGCCAATTTAATGAACAAGGTCTCACAGTCGGCAACCTGTGGAGCAGCCCTTGAAAGCCTTAAGAGACTCTTTGATGACAATCAATATAACTCCTTGTCAGGAGTCTTGGTTGATGCCATACCAGAACCCCAGCTGGGCACATTATATAAAGGGCCAAACCCTCCCTTTCAACCAGGTCTCAGTAATACGTGCCACTACATTTATAAATGCAGTAATAGATACCTACGGCTTAAATCTGTACCTTTCTTTGAGTCACTGCCAGCTGGTTTCTCGCCTTCCTTACTTTCTTGATTGGCCCGATCCTTTTGCTTCTTCTTATTAGTTGCATCGTCCATTCCCCGAGCTGTTCTCCTCTGACCAGGGACACTGGCACTGCTGGACATTTTCAGCCGTTTGGAAGAGACAAACAGCCCACCGGGGTCGGTGACAGACTCTGGGTCAGGGGTGCGGCGCTTTCTTCCCGAGCCAGCTATCTTGGCGACTCTTTGTGGTCAATCTCTCTGGCAAGGAACAAATGCCTGGAGACATATGGAAGGACTGTCAGATTAGTATGGCAAATTTAAAAAGGGCAAAATCCTGAGCAAGTAGAAGCTATACTGAGTTTATTAAAAAAAACATAAGCAGGGTACCAGTGGATCAAACCCCTGGCCCATCTAGTCCAGCAGCGGCCAGGTAACAGCATTTGGAAATTCACTAGGCTCCCAGTAAATGGCTTTCAGAGGCAATTCCTCTGCCATCAGAACTAGTAGCCATTGATCCCCATGACTTCCATGAATTTGTCTAACCCCCCCTTTTTTTTTAAAGCCACCCAAGCTGGCAGCCAGCAGCACATCTCATGGTAAGAAAATTCCAAAATTTGTTAGGCATTGTCTTAGAAAATATTTCCCTTTGGCTGCCCTCCTGGCGATTCACTTTCATTGGGTGACCTCTGGTTCTGGTATTTTGGGCAGGGGAGAAATAGCTGTTCCTTGTCCATTTTATTCACATCAGGCATAACCTCAATCCCGTCCTCTCTTAATCACCTTCTTCTAGTCTAAAAATCATTCAAATGCCACAACTTTTTTTCATAGGTAAGCTATTCCAGTCCCTTGGTCATCTTAGTTGCCCTTCTCTGAACCTATATTCTTTTTGAGCTACCAAAACTGCACAGAAATGGACAAAAAACAAGCTTTTAACAGAAACCAAAGCATAATGCTTATGCTTGGGTTTTGAAGCTACTAAGTGGTAAGGACAATACTCCTTAAGTAAGGCAATATTTTAGGCCTTAGCTTGATTTAGAAATAATTGCAAAAGAATAGCACTTTGTGATGAGAATTTTGGCAGAGTACAACTACAGCCCCCACAAAAGCAGTCAACATAGAAAATCATCTTAAGAGAGAATGCAACAGGACAAACGGGTGCCTCAGCCGTCATGGGCCAATTTGCTGTCATCTGATATCTTTCCATTATAGTATTAGAGCAGCTGAATGCAAGTTAGTTTCTACACTGGACATTGTTGTTATGAATGGGAGAAGAAGCTGGCTAAAATACACAGACACAGTCACACACACGCATCACAAAAAGTCCTTGATGCCTTTCTATTTATAGCAATCCCCTATTTTCTTCCCATTGTAGTAGAACATATTTAATATGTTAGCTACACCTTAAATATGCATCAACTTGAGACTGAACCACATCATAAATATCTCTAAAGCAGTACCCAGAGAATCTCAGCTTGCTAAGGTGGGCAATGCAGGCTTTACTGAGCTCCAGGCAGACACTTGTCTAGCCCCATTCCTTTTAGTAGAGTGCAGGTATCCTTTTAGAAAGCACAGGAATCTATTTGTCAAATGTCACTTTCAATTTCAATCTCCAGCATTTGTTCAGAACAAAGAGAAAAGAACAAGTTGCTATGTGATGAACCCAAAATAATCTATTTTACTTTCCATATTTATATTTTGTTAATGTAGCTATTAGGAGTCCTCAAAGGTTATTTTTCCCCATTTTTTTGCATTCTTTATGCATAATGAACAAAGAAGAAGGAAGCCTGGGAACTGCCATTCAAATTGATGCAGTACTTCTCAAGAATTACAAGAAACAAATTATGAATTTCCTACATTAATAGGGATTGACTTCTGAGTCGTTTCAGAGCTCCCTTAACATAACTGACAACTAGTTGTCCTTATCAATTTAAACTGACAGTGATTATTTTTGAAATAATGATACGGCACACTCAATCCCAAACTAAGCAAGAAGAAATAATGCCTTGGCATTTCCGTTTAGTGGGAGATCGTGGTTAACATGTCCAAACCATTCCCAAGGAACTGTGACTAAAGGCTAATAAAATGTTCAAGGCAACAGCTATAACACAGGATGCAGAAAATTTATCTTAGCCTGAACAAAAAGCAACACTGACAGAAGATGGGGACAACCCATGCTTTTCCCAAGAAATATAAGATACAGGAACCAATCAATATTTAAGGAAGCAACAACAGATATCTGGTTTTTAATTTCAAATATTGATCCAACATATAAATGCAGGCTTAACATCCAGGCCTAACATGTTGTCTTCCCTGCATGGTAGAACTAAACTCCCAGAATTGCCAGCCAATTTTTTATAGCCTATAACACCTACCTAAATTTTAGCAAACAAAATATGCTGATGTGATCATATCATTCTTGCAAATCAGAAAATAACTCCTTATGTAACAAGGAGTGCCCATTTTATTTTCAAAATACATTTCCAGTTTTCATTTTCCATGACTGGAAAACATGTTTAGACAATAAGAAAATATTATGTTTCCATATACCAATCTAAATTATGATATGCAAACAGGTATGCCATCAGAATTTGGGAAATGTTTATGTAACTAATACAGCCAGATCACTTTCTTTAATGAGCCAACTTGCTTACTAGAAAGAAACAAAACAAATACAAATAAATTTGTTAATTAAGGTTTGCTAATTAAAACATATAAAATGAACTGTAAAAATCTTTCAAACATATTTTTTTCTAGGCTTCAGAAAATAAATGATAAGATTTAAGGATTTTTTTTTAAAGATAAGGTATAGGAAGAAGAAATCATTTGTTGTATTTTAAGAGGTGGTGGTAAGTTACTAAACCTGTTCATACTTGTGATAAAGGGGGAAGTCATTCTTTTATATATTTTTTCTTTAATACATTTTTTTTGTTTTCTTTTTTTATTTACTTTCTATTTTTACTTTTGATTCTTTTTTTAAAAAAAATAGTACTAGTTTTTATTGTGGCAACTCCAATTGTTAGTGCAATTACTATAAAGGAAGAAAGAACGCATCTAGGAATGAAGTGCAATAGCCTCAATAAAGGTTGATTTTTGCCTCACATTAAACCCTAACTTTAGAATACAGTAACAAACATCATGCCACCTAAAAGAACTACTAAAATTTCAGAGGAACGCCGCTTTCTCTTTTTGTAGCCACGGGGTTCTACAGCCCTAAATAAAACTTCAAATTTGGTAGAGCAGTGGTTCCCAACCTTCCTAATGCCGCGACCCTTTAATACAGTTCCTCATGTTGTGGTGACCCCCAACCCTAAGGGCTCTCCAAGCGCGCATCGGCGCCGCCCACTCACCCGCTGCACCTGGGGCTCAGCGTGCCTCGCCTGTCTTCACCTCACTTCCGAAGGTCGCCGGCCTGCCTGGCTCCAACTGGCCAGGGAGGGGGGGCAGGAAGGCCGTTTCGCCGGCTCCGCCCAGCCTGGTTGGAGAAGCGCCCAGGCGGGGAGAGGGAGAGAGAGCCAAGAGGACAACAGCGCCGGCAGAGCTTAGTTCAGCCTCCTCCGCGGAAAGGGCCGCAAAGCAGCGCAGCTTCCCTTAGGAGATGCTCGACGGAAACGAATCCGGTGCTGCAACGGCCCCCAGCTCGAAGCCGTGCGGAGACGGATAGAGGAGCGGTGTCTCGGTTCCTAAGACCATCGGAAATATGTGTTTTCCAATGGTCTTAGGCGACCCCTGTGAAAGGGTTGTTCAGCCCCCAAAGGGGTCGCGACCCACAGATTGAGAACTGCTGCGGTAGAGGTTTGAGATCTGGATTTAACTAGCAATACACGTTTTGTTAAAACAGTGGTTCTCAACCTGTGGGTTGGGACCCCATTTGGGGTCGAACGACCATTTCACTGGGGTCGCCAAACAATGCAGTCCGCCATTTTCCCCCCCTTTTCCTTAGCTGTGCTACTCCCTTTTATTCTATTGGCTTTTGAAAGCCAATAGAATAGACTCTCTTGAATAGAGTCTAATTCTATTGGCTTTCAAAAGCCAATAGGAATTGTCCAGGCTGTCTCTGCCCTGCTGAGCCCGCCAAAAGTCCCATTCTGCAAACAGTGCTGTACCAGTTGAGTAGTCCTCGAATTACGACCGGTTGAATAGTCCTCAACTTACGACCGGTTGGGGGGGGTCGCGGCATTAAAAAGGTTGAGAACCACTGCATTAAAAGTTGGTGTAGGACAATCTTCTGGGTATCCGACCCTTTCACCAACATGAAGCAAAGGAGGCACCAAAAGCAGATTTCCCCATATACTTCAGCATCTTCAGAGGGTTGGACTAGAGGAGCTGCAAGGTCCCTTCCAGTGTATTCTGATTGACATCTCCCTCGACTGGCCATCCAATATACCTACCACCAGGCTCCCTATCACTTGGCTCGTGGAGGCGCTAACTCGTATCGTCCCAGCCCTCCTCCTCCAGCACCTGTCAGGATTGTCCCCGAAGGACGCCTCTCGGGGCCGCTACACTTTCTCGCAGGGATGCGCAAAGGCTCTTCTGCAGCTGAGGCGCTATTGCAACGCCGGAGCGTGGACAAAAAGGGACGCTTCTACACAACAATAACAACGGGAAACCCAGGGTCGTCTCCCGCCACCTGGCACCCGGGGGTTCACGAGACTAAGCGCCAGCATGCAGGAGGTGACCGGGGGGGGGGGAAGGTCCGGGGGGGGGGAGAGGAATTACCAGGCCACCAGCCGCGCGAGGAAGGCTTGAGCGCCTTTAAAGGGACAACCGGCACAGCAGAGGCGCGTCTCGCAAGCGGGGAAAAGGGATTCCCGCCGGGCCTCCCACTCTCGCCCGCGGAAGTCTCGCGCCAGCGCCCCTCGTCCCCATAGAAACCCCTCCCGGTTTAAGGGCCCCTCCGCGGACTCCCAGGCCCCGCCCTCCGCCTCTCGTTCCCAAGTCCTCTCCCCCTCCCCTCCCTGACAGACCCCGCTCCGGCCCGGGTCACTCACCGGCCCCCTCCCCCTGCAGGCCCCGGCGACTCTCCGCCCCCCGTGCTTAGTTGGGTTGGGTTGGGTTTGGAAACGAAGTTCCGAACGGGCGAGACTCAGGAGGAGCCAGGCCCGTGCCCGTGACGTGTTTCCGGAAACCGGTACCGCCGCAACCACGTGACACGGAGGAGGGAGGAGGAGGCGGCTACGACGGCGCGCGGAGAGATGCCCCCCCCGCTCCCTACCTTCCCCCAGTCAACCCAGCATCACGTGAGCCCGCGAATGGTGCTCGCGGTCGGTACAGAGGAGGCGAAGGAAAGGAAGGGCAAAAGAACGCCTCCGCCTTCGTGACGTCATGGTGGGCTCCCATGGCAACCGCTCTGTTAGGAGAGGGTTGGTAACACAAAGCCTTAATTTACCTCGGGTGTTGAATGCAGCAACTGGTCCGACCTGGTAGCGTAATATAATGCGGAATTGAAATTCAGTTACCGATTTTTTGTTAGATTGCTATCCGACAGACGAGGCCACTGTTGTTTCTTCTTTTTTTCGCAAGTACTTTTATTAAAGATTACAGTATTTTTTTAAAAAAACACAATACAAACTAAAAGAAAAAGAGTAAAAAAAAGGTGCGAAGGAGAAGAAAAGGCAAGAGGTAAAGAATAGGAAAAAGAAAAGAAAAAGAAAAGCAAGAATATAGTAAAGGAAAAGAAAAGTACATAAAGAAGTGACTCCCAATCTTCACCATTACAAACATAAACAATTTTAGTAACTTTTCACTTCCTCTTAAATTACAATAGATGATCTTCCCATCTCTTATCTATAAACAAATTCATAATAAAGCATTTCGATCCTGGTGTCAGCAACAGGCCATTAAAGGTTACCAGAAATAACATTACATTCCTACCTTTTACTTCTAATAGTATTAATCTTCAGTACATTCAAATAAGGTAATAGAAATGACAGCCAATATTTTTTATAGCCTATGTCAGGGCTCTTCAAACTTGGCCTTTATGACTTGTGGACTTCAACTCCCAGAATTCCTTACGCTGGCTGAGGAATTCTGGGAGCTGAAGTCCACAAGTCATAAAAGGGCCAAGTTTGAAGAGCCCTGGCCAATGTAGTACTTGACAGTACAGACAACACTGAGAAAGCAAGCTGCTAAAATATAAATGTAGAGTGAATCCCACTCCTTACCAAGAGTATTAATGTTTGGTTTAGGATGTAATGGAACGTCTGCAAGAAAACAACCAAGCTTAGGGAGCACCAAGGACCACTGTAATAGAAATTTTGTCCCTTCATATGAGATTTTTTGTAAGACCAGTATAGGAAAATTATCCAAGTCACTCTTTTGGTGTATTGTGTGCATGTCCCTTTTAATTACTAAACCATTGGCCCATTTCTTTTATATGTGCAGTGTTAAAATTTAATAATAATAATAATAATAATAATAATATAATTCTTGTAATCTGTGTTATGTAAATCCAGTTTCAACTCAGTCTCTGTCTTATCAGGTAAATTTTTTGCCTCTTCTATAATGTCTTTTGACACCCCCTCCCTAGACATTTATCAGCCCCTTGAATAGTCCCATCAAACTGTTGGTAGAAATTCTAGCCCACTGAATAACACCAAACAGCAAGTTGAAATTAGACAGAGATTTATTGGCTACAACGGTTTGCAAAGCATGGTGGACTCCAAATAAATATTTGAGCCACACCTGGTCACAGTAAAAACACACATTATATACATTCTATCCCGACACCTTGGCCCCTCCTCTGAGGTTACAATCTTATCAGGATCGCCTAAACAAAATACATTATCCCTGCCCCTTACTATTTTGCTTCACCTATTCCCATATATGTATATGAAATCCTATAGCTCAGTGTGGAAATCCTATAGCCTATGTGCAGAACTCTTACAAGGTACATGTACATGTAGAAATTATGTAGAAATCTTGCAGTAGAAATTTTGTGTAGAAATCTTTCTGTCTGCGTGTAGAAATTTTACAGAGTACGTGTCACTTAACTTTACTTTTTATTCTAAAATTTTATTCCTAACAAAACTTTGGTGGTCAATACTGAGCTGGGCTGGATGGAGCAAAACATATATAAGTTTATAGTGGGATGATGGCAGCAAATACTGTGTGGTTGCCATTTCTCCACTTAATCTTGTTGAGTTCATACTTTTTCCTCTTCCATGGCCTCATATAGTGATCAGCTAATACCTGAGAAAATAGAAGTACTATTCAAATAATCTTGATACATTGGAGGGAAAGGCTCAAAGAGATTCAGGGACACAGTGAAATTTAACAGAGGAAAAGGTGAATGCATAGGTGTAGGATAGGAAATACCCGGCATGGTAATGGAGAAAATGTTGATATAGCGCTGTGAGGATAACCTTGAGAAACAGGAAGAAGAGTTGCAACTAAGATTCTGTTACTGTAACCTTATAATAAAAATATTAGTTTTCACAACTTTGGTTTCCTGGTCTAGAATAGATTACCTCAAAAGGTTGAGTCTTGGAATAGTAGTTGGTTGCAAATAAATTAGCCAGCAGTATGATATGCCAGCTTAAAAGGCAAGTACAATTTTAAGCAGCATTAACAGAAATATACTGTCTAAATATACAGGAAGTAATTTTTCAACTCTCTTCTACATTGTTCAGCTCTCCACCTTGCATACTGTAGAAACAGCAAAGAAATGTGTGCAGATCACGGTTCAAATGTTGTACTGATTCTTACATACAGTACTTGTTGGTTTCTGGATGTTTATTAAGGGAAGATGTATTCAGGACTATTTGCTTCCAATAGTTTGTTATTATAACATTTTAATTCAAGCCAAATCCAAGATTGCAAGAAAATTCCTGGGATTCTGATAGACCAGCCATTAACAGATACTGAGAGATAACCCAGGCTAGAAGGGGGAAATCCAACACAATGGGCAAGAACCATCTAAGATGAAACAGTTCAATTAACTAAACTAGATGGCCTAATCAGAAATAGACACAAAAACTCCCAACAGCCATATATAAAAAGCCAGTAAACAACCTTGTATCAAAGCACTGACAATGTTACTCAGCTTGGTCATGAAACATTTGCAGGAAGACATTCAAGCTCAGTAAAGACCAGGATCCCAACACTAGAATCCTGTATCCAGGTCTGGATAGCACAATTTAAAAATGAGTCACAGAAACTGGAACAGGAGCAGAGAAAGGCAACAAGGTGATCCTGGGATTAGAAAGTAACTCCTGTGAAAAGAGATTGAAGGAGGTTGTTATGCTTTGCCTTGGGAAAAGACAACCGAGTAGGGACACAACTGCATTCTTCAAATACTGGAAATAGTATTATGTATCACACAGGACGTTCTTCATTGTAGAGTGCAGGACATAGAATAAAGGATTTCAATCACAGGGAGACAGATCCTGATTGCATGTTAGGAAAACAAATATCCTTAACAGTAGCAGCAATTACTCAAGGTAGTTGTGGGGGGGGGCTCCCTTACCTCTGATGCTTTTAGTACGAAGCTATGCCGCCATCTGTCAGGAATGCTGGGATTTGGATTCAACTTGTTAAGAGGTTGAACTAAGTGGCTTAAGTGCCCTCTTCTAACCCTGTGATTCTGTTGGTATCTGCTTAGTTGAAGATTTGGCAAGCCTTTTATGTACCAGATAGCTTAACACTCAGTATAAGTCCCAGAGTCCCTGTGAAACTCCTGATTATTTAGGTTTCTGTCTTGGTTATGAGGCAAAGGGCAATTCCACGTTCCAAGAAGTGCAGTTATATATAGCTGCATCGTTAAAATAATTGATCAAATATGTATCTTTTACATTATCTATCTATCTATCTATCTATCTATCTATCTATCTATCTATCTATCTATCATCTACTATCCATCCATTGATCCATTATCTATCTATCCTTACTATTCTTTTAAAGTCTATTGTTGCTGTCAGCATCCAACTAGACAGCTCTTAATCAGAATTTGATGGTTATGGAAAAATTCTAGTAGCTTGAATGTCATGGATTTAGGCAGTACAAACCACAAGATAAATAGCTGAAATCCAGGACACAATTATTTTCCTGAGCTTTTAGAGAGGAATTTAGAAGTGGCCAGTTCTTTGCTTTTGAAAATATGACTAGACTACCCGTGACCCCTTCGGTCCTCATTTCAGGGATATTTCCTTGCTGGATTCCTCAATGCTTTCAACAATGGCAGAGCTTCTAATATACTTGAAAAGTTCCTAAAAATTCAGGGAGATATTTAGATATGTGCCTGTCTTGAACTGATCTGTATAGCACAAACTAGAAATGTTTTATGACATTTTGTACCATGTCATAAAATGCTTATGATAATTTTTGTCACAAAATGTTTTATAAAATCTGCCAAATTTCAATTCCACAGGAGACAGGGGTCCCAGATTTTTGACACATTCCGTACGTTAGCCCATTTGAGGTATCTTGGTTGAAAAGGTTTTGCCCTATGTTCATTCTTTCACCCCTGTTTTGCAAGTGTGCATAGTTTCCTCATGTTTCCTACTCAGAAAAGCAGAACATTGGTGCCCATTTTTGGCAATGGCTGTAGAAAAGGAGGATTCAGTCCCTAATCATTCAGCCCCAAAGCAGACTTTACAATCCTGGCCCTGCTCTACTTGCATCATTGCGCCGCTTAAGACTGCTGTGCCTTCTGCATAAAAAAGCTACCTGCCTCTTCTTTAGACAAAGAGGAAAACAACATTCAAACATTCCTTTCACTTCTCCTTTTCTTTTGTTTCACAAACAGCATTTTGTGCTATCTAGTTATTTTCTAATTATCCACAAGGGGATTAGTATTTAGTGATGAACTGTTGGAATCTACACATTACTTCCTATCATTTTGTAATTTGGGGATTATTTCTGACACAAGGCTTTTAAGCATACCTTGCACTGATCCATGAAATCTGAAACTCTTGAACATGCTGTGATGTTTTAGGCCAGGACATTGTACAATAAATTACTAAAATAAAGGGCAATGCAGCAAAATGAAAAATGAAGATTTACTAGAAAGAGAAGACTGTAACTCTGGGTACAAATCTTTAAAAGGATTTCTGATAAACAGCCTTCTATTGTAAAAAAAAATAAAAATACAACCCTGGAATTAAATGAAATTCTGCTCCTCTATTTGCTTTTAAGGTATGGTTCTCAGTGATAGGTTCGCACATAACACTTTGTTGTGCTTTTTAACTATGATTTGATGAATCAATTAACAGGGCTTATTTCTCCTTAATTTTTAGATTGGATCCCTGTTTGACAATGTCCCATCCATTACTTCTTGTCTTGCCTTCTCTTCGTTAGACTAGACCAGGGGTAGGCCACTTGGCTCTTTTATGATTCGTGGACTTCAACTCCCGGGAATTCTGGGAGTTGAAGTCCACGAGTCATAAAAGAGCCAAGGTTGCCTATCCCTGGACTAGACATACCCAGTTCTTGCAACCATTTGTTATATGGTTCTTCCTGTTTTCGCCTCCAGTCCCCGATTTTTGTTGCTCTTCTCTGCACTCTTTCTAAAAAAGTCTCAACATCTTTTATTATGACCAGACTTGGACACAATATTCCAAGTGTGGTCTTACAAAGGCACTTGATTCAAACATCAGTTACCATCTTCACTTTTTGATACCCTATAGACACTTCTAATCTCTGGTCACAGGCATGACCAAACAATGTTTAAAGATCCAGCTGAATTTTATCTTTAGAAGCAAAATGCTTTCATTTTTCCTAGGTTTGTTGCACTGACTTCATTCTGGTATGAAGAAGTGGATCTACACTTACAGAAAAATATGAAGGCGTATTCTCCCCCCCCCCACATTCACAAAATTGTTTCTAGAATGCAAAATTAAAATAAATCTTGGAGGAAAAGTCTTTTAATGACTATTAGCCAGGATGGCTTTATAGAGTCTTCAGCTTTAGGAACAATGTGCCCCTGGATGCCAGTTCTTGACAAAAATAGTTGTTGCTTCATGTCTTTTTTTGTGGATTTCTCGGAAACTAATTTATCTAGCTAGGCTTTTAGAAGGATGCTTCTTCTGCAGTAAAGCTGTAATTGCTTTCATCTCTCTTGCTGTTGCCTGATTTCTGCCCTTTGGGACCATTTCCAATTTTGGATAATGGCCATGTTTGACATTTCAGTATCAACATCTCTGCAATATCGTGCATCAATTCTACCCAGCTCTTACTATCTGAACCAGCATTTCTCATCCTCAGCAACTTTTAAGATGTGTGGACTTCAACTCCCAGAATTCCTCAGCCAGTGTGCCTGGCTGGGGAATTCTGGGAGTTGAAGTCCATGTATCTTAAAAGTTGCTAAGGTTGAGAAACGCTGGTCTAAACTAATAGCCAGCATTTTCTAGCTTCTAGTTTCTGCTTTAAACAGACAAAGAAAACAAGGTAATGTTGCAAAAAGCACAGCCACTTTGGGTCTTTATTTTCCCACAAATGTAAGCCACTCCGGTTGGGACAGGTCATGTGAAACTTAAACACCAGTGTTAACTACCTTATCCGATCCATTCTTAGACCATCTTTCTTTGTTTTAGCCTGCAAGCTTTGAAAGGAGAGCCCTACATTACCATGTGTGAAACACTGAAAATAAGAATAGCATAAAAAAACAACAACCGAAAAGCTTTTAAGTACTGCCAGACTGACTTTCCCAGGGCAGGAAGTTAGCAGTCTCAAAAGGAAGTCACGGGGCAGTGTTGTGTTTTGAGATACATTGGAGGTGGTGAGCAGGGTGATGCTGATACTGTATATCAAAGAGATGCTGAGAAGGAATGGCTGTAAGAATCAGTGCTCCGTGTAGTAGTTGGAGCTGGGCCATGCTAAGCCGAAAAGCGGTGCTGCTTTAAGCACACGGACAGGGGAAATAAGTAGGAGTACACGATGGGGGAATCATTGGCAAGTGTTGTAAATTTGGATTTGCTCATTGATGTCTTTTAAGATGCTTCTCATCTTGGCTTCCAGCCCATCCAGCTGGGCTGCCTTCACTTGTAGCAGCCTCTCATTCTCTTCATAGGTTTCTTCCAGCTCTGAGTAAGGGAGGAGGGGAAAAAGGGGTTAAAGATAAGAGAAATTCAGACAGTATACAGAAAAAAAAACACTTCACTCACGGTGCAAGCACAGTTCTGAATCTAATATCCAAACTGCTAGTTCGACGTTAACTTTGTCTGAAAATCCAGACAAAAAGCCTGCAGTGGGCATTCATTGCCTCTACCCGAGATACAGATAGTCCTTGACTTACAACTACAGTTGAGCCCAAAATTTCTGTTGCTAAACAAGGCCGTTGTTAAGTGAGTCACGATCTATTTGATCACCTTTCTTGCCATGGTTGTTAAGTGAATCACTGCAGTTGTTAAGTGAATCATGCAGTCGTTAAGTGGGTCCAGTTTCCCTCATTTACTTTGCTTGTCAGAAGCTGGCTGGGGAGTCTCCAACGGCTGGAGACCCAGGGACACATTAAAAACGTAAATCCGCATTGTTTATTCTGATGCAGACACAGAGAGAGGTCTTAGGCCAGTGGTGGCGAACCTATGGCATGCATGCCAGAGACGGCACTCAGAGCCCTCTCTGTGGGCATGCGTGCCATCGCTCCAGCCCCGCCTCCCCCTTAGCCCTCTCCTTCCCAGCAGCCCCCCCCCCGGAGGAGATTCGCCCCCGGGCGCGGCCCATGTGGAGCAGCGCAGCCAAGAACATGGCAGCCGGGCAGCAGGGACAAGACTCCGCCCTCACGCCCCGTCACGCGCAGATGATGCTGTGGGGCACGGGCGGAAGGTGTGGCCGCCATGGCGCTGCAGGGCCGCCTGGGCGATCTGCAGCGGGCCATGGAGGCGGTGGTAGCCCTGCGAGTGGGTGGGGGTGGGGCAGAGCGGGGGCAGGTCAGGGGGTGGGGCGGTTTTTGAGCACTTGGTCTCTAAAAGGTTCGCCATCACTGTCTTAGGCACTTACTGCTCAGCCGGCGTAGTTTTTCGTGAGCATCGCGCAGAAGTCCTTTGGCCTCATCTCGCAGGTGCTCTGCTTTCTTTCGGGCCCCCACTACATGCTGGGCTTTTCGATCCACCAACTCCTGCATGGTGCGGTATTGATCACCCAGCGGTCCCTGCAGTACCTGCAGAAAACACCAGCAGGCAATAGAGGTAGTGCTCGACTTACGAGTATAATTGAACCTCACAATTATGGTTAAGTTGGTTGTAAAGCGGGTCACCACATGCCCATTTTGCAACCTTTTTGGGGGAGGGTCATTCAGCAAATGCAGAGGTCATAAATGCTCCAGCGATTCATCAAGCATTGTGGTTGGGTTGCTATGTGAACCCACTATTGGCTATCGGCGGGTTTTTGGTGAAAAACGGAAGTAAACGCCAGGAACGAGGGAGTGAAGAGGTGATCTTGCCTCTTGGACTTTGATTTTTTAAAGGGCCTTCCAATTGAAAGGTTTCACGTAAATGAGATGCTACACAGGAGAGGCTGAAGGCTATGAACAGGATAGTGTTCTAAAGCTTTCCAGAGCAGCGTTTCTCAGCCTTGGCCACTTGGAAGTGTGTGGACTTCAATTCCCAGAATTCCCCAGCCAGCATGTTGGCTGCAGAATTCGGGATGTTAAAAGTCCAAACATCTGGACTTCCGGTGGATTTTGCGTGCGTGATGGCGGCTACTTTGTAGCCGTCCTCCTGGGTAAGTGTAAGAACCGCTATGAACAGCAGATATCAGCTGTTCAGCGGTTCAAAATCCCCCTCCCGGGCAAAGGGGGGGGGTAGAGAGTGTCTGAATAGTGGTAGAGCCTCTTTCGCACCCCCCAAGTTTTTTTTTTTGGGGGGGTGAAAGGAGTGCTCCCACGGAGTTCAGACTTGTCTCCGCTTCCCAGCTGTTTTTGTCCTCAGGGACAAAACGAGCCGCCGCAAACACCTCCGTGCTTAAAGAGAACTGGTGAGTTTTTTTTTTTAAATGGACAGAGCTGAGTAGAGGATTTAGTTTTTGCTTTCTTTGACTTATTTGGATTTTAAGTTTTAAGATTTGTTTCTATTTTTATTCTCTCTTTTTATTTTTTTTTCTTTGTTGAAAGGGAAAGTAAAATGGCGATCGGCAAACTCCTCGGTGTTTTTTTTTTCTGGAAGTTAGAATGCTGACCGGCAGGCTTTTTGGTGTTTTTCTTTCTTTCCTTTCCCTTTCTCTTTTTATTTCCTTATGATTGGAATGGTTGTTTTTGGTATCTCTAAGTATTTTTTTTGGAACGGACTTTTTTTATTTAATTATTATTTTTTTTTTTCTTCTCCCTTTTTTTTTCCTTTGAACTCCCTTTTTTTTTTTATTGTAATGACCCTTTTTTGAAGGACTTTTTTTCTGTTTAATTTTTTGTAATTTTTAAGAAGGAGTAAAACTTTTTTTTAATTCTTTTTCTCTTCCTTTTTTTCCCTTTTTTCTTTTTATTATAATGACCTTCTTTGGAGGGAGTTATATTTTTGAAGGAATTTTTATAATTGCTTAAGAAGGACTAAAGGTTTTTCTTTAAGATGGCTCCAAAGCGTCCAGGGATTTCTACAGCTTCTAAATCAACAGTTTCACCCTCTTCTGGGGGTCAGCTAATAACTATGAAGGACTTGCAAGACATGATGGGAGATGTTATAATTCAAATTAGGGCAGAAATGAAAAAGATTTTAGAGGAAAACAATAAGATCTTGAGACAAGATTTTGTTTTGGCTTTAGAAGGTGTTGCTTCTGTTCTTGAAAAGGTGAACTCCCATGTGGAAGAGGTAGCTGAAAAAGTGGACATAATGGAGGGGAAAATTGAAAGTATGGAAAAAGAAATGGAAAATGAGATTCTTATGCTTCAATATGGACAAATGGAATATGCCTTAAGAATTAGAGGCCTGGGAGAGTCTTTGCAAGGAGATCTGAAGGAGATGGTTGCAAAGGACTTTGCATTGATTTTGAATAAAGAAAAAGAGGGAATACTTAATGAAATTGAAAAATTATTTAGGGTTAACTCTGTGGTGGCAGCACAGAAGAATCTGCCAAGAGATGTGGTAATTTACTTTGGTAAAAGATCTTTACGCAATGAAATTGTGCAAGCCTATTATAAGAAGAGATTTCAAATTGCTTCACAAGATGTTATAATTTTTAAAGAGATCCCATCTAAAATTTTAAGAAGAAGAAAGGAGTTTGCTTTTTTAGCAAATGAACTTAAAAAGAGAAAAATTTCATTCAGATGGGATGTTCCGATTGGAATGGTGGTGAATTACCTGGGGACATGTTATAGACTTAATACTGTTTCTCAAGCAAAAGATTTTTATACTTCGGTCCTGGGGGTATGTGCATCGCCATCAATTAAGTTTAAAGCTTTGGAAGAAAAGAATGTAGAATCACAGTTTGAAGAGCCTATATTTATGAAAACTGGAGAATCTTTGTGTGAGAGGCCTCAACAAGTCCAGGTTGAGGAGCAGAAGACAACTTGTGCAGTATATAATCCCAAAGAAAAGCAGCAACAGAAGAAGGTTAAGGAAGTTTCATATTTAGTGGTTTCTGAATCTCTGGGAGATGTTAGACCTACAAAGTCTTTGGAGCAATCTTTAAGGGTGGAATTGTTGCCTGAAATGGAAACTGGGAAATCTCAGTCTGAGGGGCATCAACAAGAGAGGAACGGGCAGAGGATAACTTGTACAACTTACAATTGTAAAGATCAATACAAGGAGGAATTTAAGGAACCCTTATTGGCTTCGGAGTCGATGGGAGATTCAGGAATTTTGGAGCAGTCTCCTAAGGCAGAACTTGCAGCATTTCTTACGAGTTTGATACAAGAATGGAGAAGGGAAATGGAAGAATGGAAGAATGGAGAATGGAAAAAACTGGAATGTGAATAATTAATAATACTAATATAATTGAGATTGATAAGGATGTAGTTTTTTATGGATGGAATTAGTTATTGGTGAAGATTGAAATGTTTAATGTGTTTATTAACTTTGTTGTTTTAAGTTTTGAACCTTTAATGATAATATTGTTTAAATTTGTGTTTTGAAGGGATTATAATTTGCTTATTTTAGTGAGTGGATTCTAATGTTTTAAATTTTAAAAATTTGTGGTTTTGGAGGGAGTTTATATAGAGTGATGATTGTATTTAGATTTGTTTAGGATTTAAAAGTGTTTTTAGTTTTTAAATATTATTATTAATATTTTTAAGACAAAATAATTTGTTTAATTAAATGTGCTTAGATTTGTTTAGGACTTATAGTTTTTTTAAGTTTTTGTTTTTTTTTTTTTTTCTTTTTGGATAGGAGAGAAGATTATGAAGATTGAAGGAAATATGTACTTACTTTAAGTTCTTTAAGAGTATTTAGCTTTAATGGTATAACAAAGATTTGTATTTTTATTTTTTCGTTTTAGGATAAAGAAAGAGGGAGAAATTAGATTTTATATTATAGATATAGATATTCAAAGAAAGTAATGTTTAAATTTGTGTTTTTGGAGGGAGCTTATATAGAATGATGATTGTATTTAAATTTGTTTAGGTTTTAAAAGTGTTTTAAGTTTTTTTTTTTTTTTAATTAAGCCTGTACTCAGCTCTGGGAAGTCCAGGGGAGGGTTTGGGAGGTTGGGAAGGGGGGGGGGTGAGGTAGGGGGGGGTATGGGAAGGGGATTTGTTTTTGTAAAATGTAAAAATTTTCAATAAAAAAAAAAAAAAAAAAATTTATAAAGCAGAGTTATAGCAAGTTAAAGCATATAATAATAATTACTTACCAAACACGACGAGTTGTGTTTCTACCAAACAGTTCTACTTTGGTTTCATCTGACCATATGACATTCTCCCAGTCCTCTTCTGGATCATCCAAATGCTGTCTAGCAAACTTCAGACGGGCCCGGACATGTACTGGCTTAAGCAGGGGGACACTTCTGGCACTGTAGGATCTGAGTCCCTGGCAGCGTAGTGTGTTACTGATGGTTGCCTTTGTTACATTGGTCCCAGCTGTCTGCAGGTCATTCACTAGGTCCCCCTGTGTGGTTCTGGGATTTTTGCTCACCGTTCTTGTGATCATGTTGACCCCATGGGGTGAGATCTTGCATGGAGCCCCAGATTGAGGGAGATTATCAGTGGTCTTGTATGTCTTCCATTTTCTAATTATTGCTCCCACAGTTGATTTCTTCACCAAGCTGCTTGCCTATTGCAGATTCAGTCTTCCCAGCCTGGTGCAGGTCTACAATTTTGTTTCTGGTGTCCTTTGACAACTCTTTGTTCTTCACCATAGTGGAGTTTGGAGTGTGACTGTTTGAGGTTGTGGACAGGTGTCTTTTATACTGATAACAAGTTCAAACAGGTGCCATTAATACAGGTCATGAGTGGAGGACAGAGGAGCCTCTTAAAGAAGAAGTTACAGGTCTGTGAGAGCCAGAAATCTTGCTTGTTTGCAGGTGACCACATACTTATTTTCCACCATACTTTGCAAATAAATTCTTTCCAAATCAGACAATGTGATTGTCTGGATTTGTTTTCTCGTTTTGTCTCTCATAGTTGAGGTCTACCTATGATGACAATTACAGGCCTCTCTCATCTTTTTAAGTGGGAGAACTTGCACAATTGGTAGCTGACTAAATACTTTTTTGCCCCACTGTAGAAACAGGAAGTCTGATGAAATTACATTTAATTAATTAAATTATTAATGAGATCCCTGAGGCTGATGCTGCGAAACTAAATACTGGATATCTGGCTCAATTTTTGTAAGGAACAAACGAAGGTCTCCTCTTTCAGAAATATTCAGGCGGTTTCTTTCTTTGGTCATAATATGATTAACAGCACTAAAGCCTGATTCCACAAGATATGAGGTAGGGAAAGGTATCAATAAACTTAATATCATTTTCCACATATTTGGATATAAGGCAGGCATTTTTTTTACTTTGCCATAGGTTTTCATATCCACCACTTTCAAATTTATGTTTACTTTCTTCATCATATCTAATTTCTAACAGTTCTTCTTGGCAAGTTATATCAGCCTCTTCAATATTTGCGGTAAAAGGATTTTTCATCCAGTCATACATCTTCAATTTCAAAATATCTTCAAATCGTTTTTCCGTGTCCAATTTAAGTCCTGGGCAAGCAGGAATGAAGAGAAAGCCTTTATGGCCTCTACCTTGGTATTGAGG